ATTGATATTGTTGCATGTAACTGAAGTTGGTACTCTAACAATTGTTTTTTCCCTTTTGTTGTACTTTGATGCACTCTGCCTATTTATGTTGTGTATGAGAGGGACAGTCCTCATGTCTCCCTTGTTGGTGGTGTTTTGTTCCTTGTCGAAAAATTCCCCTCCGTGTGAGCAAATGTTATGAATAACATTCTGAAAGTGGGGGGAAATGTCACAGACGGCCATTTTTGGCGACCCCGCGTCACGGCAATTAACGGGCGCCGTACTCCCCCACTGACCGTGGGGATGGTGGGCGCATGAAAGAGAGCCGAGAAGTGCAGAATGGGGTGCTCTTTTTCGAAAGTCGCCGCCGACGTTTGATCCTTTGTAACTGCGGCGGCGTCTGCAGGGTCGTGGAAGGCCGCGATGTACCCCGAACAAGGATTAGACTACGGGACGCACCGGCTGAGAGCCAAACAGTCTGACCGTTCCCACGGGAAAACCGTGGGAAAACCTCTGGTGGCCAAGCCGTATGACAACACCCCAACAAGTTGTCACTCTCGCTAGTTGAGGGCCCTCTCCTAATTAAAAAGCGGTGGGGTCAATATATTTTTGGGGGCGGAGTTTCCATCAATGAAATGCGCATTATTGGACCCATGCAGAGGTCTCTTGTCCTCAAGGAAGAGAGCGAGGGGACACGAGGGGGATTTAAGCGCAGGATTTTGCCCTGCTAGGCAGACTAGTCGCTGACCAACATGGTGTAGAAACAGATCAACAAGTATCTCTTCTAGAAGTTTTTAGTGTGGCTCTGTATCGGCTGGCCACCTAAACTGAGCCGTTCGTCTTGTTGTGGCACGATATTAACTTAGAAGTGTGGCAGCTTGGGCTAGTTGGTATGGCATGACGATAGTTATAGCGCGAGAACAAAACGACGACACAGAGACAAGAAGGACACGTCTTTCGTGTCCTTCTTGTCTCTGTGTCGTCGTTTTGTTCTCGCGTGTCCTTCTTGTCTCTGTGTCGTCGTTTTGTTCTCGCGCTATAACTATCGTCACGATATTAACGTCTGCAACGTAGACATCGGGACTTCGCCTCGAGTTAGCTCAACCTGCCCGAGGTCACCTGCAAACACTAGCCTCCCGGAGCCACCAGCGTTGCAATACCGCTGACATCGCAGTCGTGCCAGAACTCTCTTCGACTTCTCGTATCCGATCGTCGGGAACGCAACGCTGCCGGTCATCACACGTATGCCTTCACCTGTTTATATCTTCGAACTTTCTCCTCCGTAGTTCTATTGTTGTTAGGTTGTGTAGTTTGTAATAGTTCTCTCTCGTAAGCTGATTTATTGTTCTTTATATGTATTTTTAGTTGTATCAAGTGCTGATGTATTTTGTTAGTTGTAGTGAAGTGTTGTACTAGATGCCGTGTGCTACAATATCACTACAGTAAAGTTTGTTTTGATTTCTCACGTCTCTGATCTCTTCACTGTCTCTGCTTGCGTACGAAACGAACTAACCTGCAGTCATTCCCGCCGCCAACTTCACGCTGGCGACGCTAGAGTGGCAGCTTGTAACAACACCGCAACGCTGCATGGAAAAAACTCCTTACCAACCAATGTCCGACTAATTGGAGAAATTATTTATTTGCTAAAGCTACCATTAAGAGAACAGTTTCATTAGCGAAAGACGATTATGAAGAAAAACGGTATAGCTATCTATCCAAGAGCGGCAACAAGAAAGCTCTATTTCTCCGTAATCGTAAAGCTATTACAGCACACGTAAATATTGACTCGGTTATTTTTTCTCCAACTGAGTTGGAAGATACATTAACTGAAATTGCATTAGGATCGGAGAAGAGATTTACATCACAAATTAAAATAAAGTGCGCAAAACCGTCATTCGGAAATGATTTTATTGAAGTAAGTAGGGATGAACTTGCGCACGTCGTTCGTATTCTGTCAAACACAGGTCCTGGACCAGATGGCATCACTTCACAAATGTTAAAAATATTATTCGACATCTCTCCTGAAGACCTCCTTAACGTTGTCAACTATTCACATGAAAATAGTTGGATACCTCCTGACTGGAGACTTGCAAAAATAATACCGCTTCTTAAAAAACAGGGACTAGGAATGCAGATAGATAACATTAGGCCAATCGCTTTAACATCAGATGTAGTTAAGTTAATAGAAAGAATACTTTATATTAGAGTTACGAAGTTCATAACAGGTAATGCCATACGCAGTGCGTGCCACATTGGATTTAGACCAGGTTACTCTATATGGTGAGCGCATGTTGATTTAGAGGCTCGTATAAAGCTTGCTCGCCACAGACGACAATATGCTGCCCTAGTAACCCTTGATTTAGCCAAGACATATGACAGGGTTGAACATCCTATTTTTATCAATGCCCTAAAAGAGCTTACGTTCTCGCAGTACATAACAAAATGGATATACGAATTTTTCAGACAGAAAATTTTATGGCTCCCAATGAGGTGTTTCCAAACCGAAGTATAGCCAAACGAGAGGTGTTCCTCAAGGCTCTGTTCTATCGCCTGTGCTATTTAACATTTTGTTAAGTTCAATACCACTGAGTGATAAGGTACAAGTATATGTATATGCAGATGATATCGCGTTCTTTGCATCTGACAGTAATATTTATTTACTACATTCGACTTTACAGTTTTATTTGGCAACATTAAAACCTGGTTTCAGAAAATTCATATAAACCAGAACGTAACTAAAAGTGCTATAATAGTTTTTCCATTGGACGTACCAGTTACTATTTCTCTTCAGTACCATCAAGAAATAATTCCCCAGGTTAACTGTATTAAATATCTGGATGTACTGTACGATCAAAAACTGAGCTGGCTTGACCACATTGAACATATTAAAATTAAGGCTACACGCGCTGTTGGGATGATAGGTAGGCTTGGCCGCCTCCGTTCGGTCTTCGCAGAGATATGCTGGTCATGATTTATCGCATGTACGTTCATCCGATTCTTGAATTCAGATGTGTACTATTCTCTGGTGGACCAGCATACAAAATAAACCCCCCCGATTCTTTTAGAGCAGGAAGCTCTTCGTAGTTGTTTAGGTGTGCCAAAATTCACAGCTAACAATGTTTTGTATCAAGAAGCTCGGATACCCACCCTTGCTTGCAGATTCCGTATTTTAACAGTCAAAACCTACTTAAAATTTTCTGAATCCATTTTAAGAAGGTGACAGTTTGTATTCTTTGCCGAGCCTGGTGTCTTTTTCAATGAGCATTGGTCCCATGTATATAAACCCCGAGTGCTATTTGTTCAAACACTTCTAGATGCTTTAAATGCTAATATATTCGAGATCACACCATCTGTCAAACCAATCGGCCAAGTGCAAATAGAATTTGACGATATCTTCCCCATGAACGCTAAACACTTGCCCTCTGAATATTTGATTGGTTTATTAGAACAACACCTGTCTCAATTAGGTACTAATATAGTAATTGCAACGGATGCATCTATGAGTGGTGAGAAGGCAGGTGTGGGTATTTTTTCTCTCTCATTATTCTGGTCATTTTCACTACGCCTCCCAGATTATGCACCAATATTTGAAGCGGAATTAATGGCCGTTATACTAGATATTCGTAAACTTCCTGCGACTCATTCGACAGCTGTGACAGTGACCGACTCGTATTCCGTGTGTTCATTTTTATCATCGTCGTCGGCATCAGCAGTACTAGAAACTTTTAAATCATTAATCCCAGCAAACATTCGTCTAGTGCGAATGATATGGGTGCCAGGCCATCGTAGTATATTTGTAAATGAGATGGCTGACACACTTGCGCGAACATCTCTTGATATTCCGATTGTGCCAATCATGCCTCCTACAGTTTATGTAACAGCAGCGAGGTTTAGAAAACTTTCCCTTCTTGAAGACTCATCAAAAATCACGATACCGAATGCCAGATTTCTTGCACCTGCACATTACATGGAATAATAAATGGTGTCCCACGAGTAAATTGAAAGTATTGATAACAAAATTACGTTTCCGCGTACCACCTCTTAATTTCCACTTAAACAGGTCTGGTATGGTGCCATCCCCTCAGTGCTCAAGCTGTAACGAACCTGAACATATCGACCATTTTCTTATCACATGTCACCGTTTCAAAAATCAAACAAAAAATTGCTTCGAAATTTTATTCTAAAAACAAGGAATATCACTTAATACTCCCAATATTTTGTCTTTTGAGGCCGCTTCATTGGGACACAGCGACAGGAACATCTGCAGGGCTCTCTGCAAATTCCTATATAACACAAGAAGATTACCTTGCTGAGTCAGTGATCAGCTCTCGAATTTCACTACCACTTATTATTTAGCTGATACACTGCAATGATTCTTTCAGAAGAATTTCATATAACGATTACACCTCAGATATTCAACAAATTCTATTATTTCTCTCCTCTCCTCCCCTTTTTTTCTTTTTTTTACAACGTGCCAAATTAATTTCACAGTCAAAACACAGTAATCATATTCCCTTAGTCTAGAAAACCTAAAAGTATTGACTTGCTTTAACCACCGCCTTTTTCGCCAATCCCCCTTAGTGGGTGAGAGCCACAAAAGAAAGGAACAAGCAAGCAAGCAAACAATGCCCCATAGTGGGTATGTGTCAGTGTCCACGGGCAACAAACATACAATGGCTCCGTGTGGTGTGTTGTACCAATACGTACTTTTTGTGCCCACGTTTTTTGATTGATTGATTGATATGTGGGGTTTAACGTCCCAAAACCACCATATGATTATGAGAGACGCCGTAGTGGAGGGCTCCGGAAATTTCGACCACCTGGGGTTCTTTAACGTGCACCCAAATCTGAGCACACGGGCCTACACCATTTCCGCCTCCATCGGAAATGCAGCCGCCGCAGCCGGGATTCGAACCCGCGACCTGCGGGTCAGTAGCCGAGTACCTTAGCCACTAGACCACCGCGGCGGGGGCCCACGTTTTTTGCGCTGCCCATTTCAACAACAGCGACTGAACACTTACGGGTACTCCTCCGACTTTGTTAGTTTGCCATGACGTGCTGTCGCTTCCGACTGGTTCATCTACCATGCCAAGGTAGTAGTAGTGCTGGCTTTTCTCAGCCATGTCCCCGGCCGGCACGTGCTTCAATAGATGAGCGGTGTCGACAGCCAGAAGTAGGTTTCAGTGCAGCACAGAGATAATAAGTTGCTATACTTTTCAGAATGAACAAGTTTGTGCCGTTGTCAGTTTTTGTGATGCGCAAACCGCAAAACAGAAACTAACAACGCTGTCAACACAATCCGGTGTGCTCAGAGTGCCCTGAGACGCGCAACAGACAACACAATTACTGGATTGACTTGACTTCAAAAAAAAAACTTGTCACTTGTAAGGTATCATCGTTTACACAAATGTTATATAAATAAACATCAATTATAATTGCTATTTAACAGAAATATACAATGAATTGTGAGCATTAGTAAAATATTGTGTAGGACCACACGTTGTGTCAAATTCGAAAACGCGGCCGAGAATAGCTGGCGATGTCCACGGTGCACGTGCTCCTTGCCGTTGGGCACGGAGGAAGCAAAACATGCCGTTGGGTTATGCGCGCTTGATTCAGTTGTGAGCTAATGTCCATGGTCAACCGCTTCTAGTGTCTCCGACCAAAAACATTAAGTTAAACGTCCAGAACGCGGTAAAGTGAAAGGTGAATTCTACTATGACTATCTCGTTGTGTTCGTAAATGGCTGTAGTCAGTCCATGGTTGTCGGAAGTTGAATGCGATGGCAGTCTTACCTGGCGAAGTTCCTTGTCCTAGCAAGGGACGGGACAGGTGTTCTGGAGAAAGCCTTTTCACGTTCCTATGCCTTTCAGAGATGGCCGCAGACCGCGATGAGGTGGAAACCATTGTGAGCTCCATCCTTGCAAGCCAGAAGAACGGTCTGCCCTTGCAAGCCTTAGACGGTGAGTACGAGGACACCGTTTGGGCTATGTTGGGCTGTTAACACCGTGCCTGCATTGTGCCCTTCTTCGTTTCTACTGCTTAGCGCTGTGTAATCTAAGACGCGATCCTTCTTACTCGATTGGCTTTTAGGGAACCCTGTGCATTGTTTCAATAGCGGCTATTAGTTCCGTTACTAAACGTTTTCGTGCAGTCGGGTTTTATCGAATGCTGCAGGTGAATTCAGACATTCTGAGAGTCTCAACAACTGCTGCTCGAGGGAGTATTTTTGAAATGAGACGTTAGCCGCAAGTCGTGGGAACATATAACGTCTAATTTTTTATAATACCCTCAGGGTCAGCAGGCATTACTGAGGGGAGTGGTAAAACATTAAAAACAATATTGTAAGGTCAAAGAGACAATACAATGCAATAATAGTAAATGATAGCCACAGTACAGCATGAATTTACAGCGGAAATATACATATTATGAAAAATGTCACTGTTTATAAATTACAATAAAAGCTCTTACATAGCAGTATACAACATGTAATCGTGGAATGTATTAATTATATAATTGTGGCTATGAAGATGCAAGATGCAACCAAGCTTACAAAAAAATTGGTTAACAAAGTCGCAAAGCTATCACGATTTGAAATTATGTGTGTTTTGCTCACAAATCTGCTGCTTCTGCTGTTTTTCTGAACAGATGAGTACCGGGAAAACGTTGGAACATGTATACCATACCAGGAGCTTGGATATGATACCTTGGTCGAGTTTCTGGAAAGTGGTCCCCAGGTAGTTTCCTTGCAGAGGTATAAAATGGTTGTGGAGCATTTTTGTACTTTGCTTTTAACTAGCGCTGTTCAATTTGAGTGTGCAGAAAGGCAGCTTTTACATGTGAGAGCATTTAGTTTGGCTGCTCGTACTCTTCTTTGGTGGTGGCTGAATTTTTGGTCCTGAAACTGAGTTCAAACAAAACGATCATCGCAACCGCTGGAAAGTGCCAGTAAATAAATGTATTGCATAGGCAGTTGTAGTATTTTTTGTATAACATCAGTTGTGGTGGTGTTTTTCTCACTATTTAGCTGCTGTACGTATGCTTTTACAAAGTGGAATCGAGGTGGAATATTTATTATTAGCAGGGATAATCCTATCTTTTTTTTTTTTTTTGCACACTTCGTGTAGGTGGACTTGATTATTACCATGGTGTATAGTGTTGAAGATGTAAATGTAACTGCCCCGAGCTTCATAAAATCTGCACTGTTTTCATTCAAAGAGATGAAGGTGCAGATATCTGCTCTACTTACGTTCATGAGTCAGCGCACATGCCTTTTGTACAATTGCTGTGTCAGAAGTTTTGGTGCTGCATTCATGTGCCAAATGTGTCTGTCATTAGTCACAGCTGCCCTCGGGTCATATGCAGCAATAGGAGCTATTCACTGATCTCTTCCCACCAGGCGGCGCCAGCAAGTGCGCCGCCATAGCCGTGGTCCTTTGGGGATTCGGCATGTGACAGTGTGATATATGGTGGCGCTGCACCTCACTAACCTGCTTTCTTATTAAAACAAAATATCAACATAACAAGTGCCGCCAAGAACTTTGGTTATGGTACGCCGATGATGTTTCTGCGCGAGGCCACGAGTGTGGCAACTTCCGCACTAGTGCCCGCTGCGGATGAGTTTCCTAAAGTTAACTAGAGGGGACTCTGGCACTGCGATGCTTCAGCGGCCGTGGGAATGATCGGTAATACATGGCTGGCTTCGAACAAGCTTGTGGCCTTCTTTATTGCTGTGTTTTGTTTTGGATGAAAGAACGAATCGCTGGGAACTTCGTGCCCCGACTTGAATTGGTGTGCCTAAGAGTTTGAGGTGGTGAAGAGCAACTGCAGAACATTTGGCGATTGTTTCGAGAAAACGCAGCTCTAAGCCATGTGAAGCCATACGGAGCCAGAAGGACGAAGGTTAGACAAATTCGTGTACTACCAGTCGTTCCCATGCTCGCTGAAGTACCGTGCATTGCAGCTCCCATAGACACTAGTAAAAGAGTTCCCTGTAGTGTATTTATAGGAACTCTTTGACGTGCATATCTCCTATAGCATGCCTAAGCCTTGTCCTAATGGGATTTACTTTTTTTGTTTGTTTTCCTGGTTACTAGGGCCCCAGATGGAGAAATTGTTGCACGTGCGGCCTACAATGCCTTGACAGCCCATGTGACGAAAATGGTGGCAGAGCAGAAGCCAGGCCCAGTCAGAGCACGCCGGCAGCTTGTGCAGCGACCATTCCACAGGAATGTTCATCCTTACCAGAAGGTGGGTGGACTTAGGTTTTTCTCTAACTCTCTTTAGAAAAAAAAAAGTGAGCTTGCAAAAAGAGTAACAATTTCGAAATTTCTTTGGAGTAGCACTTCCCAGTTGGTGCTGGTTTAAGAAAAGGACGAGGTAATGTAGCGCATGCAAAAGAAAAGCAAGAAAGAATTCAGCACATGGCTATTTAAATCAAAGCTCACTGCGATGTGATACATATCGGTTGCGTGTATGGATTGTTCCGAGACATTTCCCTTCACAGGCTTCGGAGTTCAGGAATTGTAGGCATGTCGAGTGGTTTACAGGCTGCATGCAATCTAGTTCTGCAAACATTTTTATATTTATAGCAGTTGTGCTGAAAGCAGCAAGTCGTTACAATTTTCTTTTCTCTGGGCCGACCACACTTGAGGGTAACATTAGTCATGTTGGTATTAAGTGCGGCAGTTTGGCGTAGTAATGGTTGCGAGAACCAGTACTATATCCAGTCACTTGTGTAAAATGCAATTGATTAAATTGTTTCAAGAATGTTATTCTCATTACTAGCCGGTCACACAAAAAAAAATTTGGCTGTCTGAGGTCCTCTAAGGGAGCCCAGAAAATAAAGACAACAAAAAAAAGTTTTTTTTTCTGTCTGATGAAAAGGCTTTGTGAAGTAGTAGTGTAAGCAGTTAGTGTAAATAGTAGCACTCCGAACTTAAACTTTTATGCCTCCATGTAATGCATTTTACTGGCAGGGAAAAGGCCATGCATCTCTATTTTATTAATTCTCAAACATACCCAAAGACCTGTGAAATCAACAAGGCCTGTAGCAACCACACCGTAAACAAACACATTTGTGTTAGAGATCGATTTTCACACTGAAACAGCAAGGCATTTTTTTTTTGCGGACTATTTTTTCAGTAAGTAGCAATTTTTGTTGTTGCACTTGTATTATTATTATTTAAATAAAACTAGAAAAGACATATGATGATACCTTTTCTTTTTTTTATTAATTTTCCTTTTTTATTGTAAAATTTAGTAACTTGCACATAGAGTTGTAGTGCACAGTTACCAAGCTGAAATGTAGCAAAATATTGATGATTTCATCTACCTCTCGTGCATTGAAAAAAAAAAAAAAGAATGCCTTGGCATTGGCTTTTTAAAAAAAGTGATATAATAGCAACCTATGATCATCACTGTGAGCTTGGTAGTGGTTAATTATGCTTCACATATGAGTACCATCAGCGTCAAATGAAGCACGAACAGCGGCAAGCCTTTGCGGCGGTATGGTGCACGCCATTCAGCTATCACGATTGACAGGCGCGCGCATCCTGTTCGGCAGCTTTGCGCATATATGCGTGCCTGTCCATGATAATTGAGCGGCGCGCACTGTACCATCACGAAGACTTGCCGCTGTTCAGGTTTTATATGACGCTGATGGTACATGCACTCGAGTTACCATGCTGTTGCTGAGACAGTTCCTTATTTTCACATTTTTCAATTGCTGGTGCCTCAGTTAGTCTTTTCTGTGTGTGCAATAGCATGAGAAAAAAAGGGGGGGGGGGAACAGAGTTTCTTTTGGTCTGTAAGTGCAGTATGAGGTTGTGACTGCTAAGAATTTCAGGTAAACTGTATTTTTCGCATGCACATCTAACAAGTCCAATGGGCATAATCACACGGGAATTGTTGTCTCTCGATGAAGGCGAATCGCACCGGCGGTGTGGCCTCGGGACCAGCAGCTGCAGGCCGCGCTCAGGCGCAAACGGATTTCCGTGCTCCCAGGAGGGTAGGTGGCCATATACTTCCTTTTAATTTTAACTTAAGTGTAAGCACAGTGAATATATCTCTTACAGAGTAAGAGCTTGGCTCACTTTAACAAATGACAATCATTTGGTGTTTCACGCTTTTCTGTTCTAAGGTTCGGTTCCCATTTTACTCGGTTATTGCTCGCAATTTGCTTTGGATCTTGTCGAAAACAAACCAGAAATATTCGTCTTCACTCGTCTCCACTGCCATTTTGACACACCTGCATGTGATATTCAGTTGGTACAGGTCTCATGCAGATTTCGCTTAACTAGTTTGAAATGATGTCAATATACTGCACGCTGTAATAAAACTGTGCAGCTTAAAATAGTTCAAATGGTTGTGGTATTTGCATAAACCATTAGCAGAGCACTCTGAGGTTACTCATGGTGGGGTTGAGTGGCTACAGCATTTCTCAGCTATGAGCCCAAGTGTGTATGCGGGTTCTATTCTCACCCTCGGTGGCGAAGTCATGGAGGAGGTGAAATCTGAAGGTGCTGTGTTAAACGTTAAAGAACACTAGATGGTCAAAGTTTGTCTGGTGTTTCCCACTATGAAGTGCCTCGTTCACATTGTTTTTATTTCTTGGCTGTTTTCTTTGTTTTTATTTTCCTCCTCGTGCATCACCTAGAATTGTTAGAATTTTGCTTGTGTGAGTTCAAGTGGCAATGTGTGATGGAAGGTTACTTTGCCAATAGTTTTCCAGGGACATTTTAACGCTGGTCTTCATTATTGGGATGTTGCAGAAACCACTGATCGCACTTCCTGGAAATGTTGAGAGGTTTCGCAATCGACGGCATTGGAGCAGACCTCGAGCCAATCAGAAAGCTCTGAGCCTGAAGCTCCCCATGGCTGTAAAGTGGACGTATGAAGACGGTAAGCTCGAAGAAATGGCACTTTCATGATTCAAAGTAAGTGCGTATAGACAGTAAAACAGCTGGACTGAGTCGCCTTGAACTTTGTCAAAGTGCTGAAGGGCAAGTGGCAGAAACTTGCTCATGTTCAAATGGATCTCTTTTATTGTTTCAAAGGTCCAAATATTAAAACCTTTTTGCTCATTTCAGTGTATGCGCCTACATTACTCTTAAACTACATTACACATAAGACACACCTACTCATAATACACCTACACTACAACCCTGCATATATAATGAGGTTTATTACATTTGCAAAAAAAAAGTTCCTAATTCACGTATAATGCAACAGAAGAAGGCTCTCAGTTGTAGTAGAAAACTTTACATAAAATAAGAACAAGCAGTGTTCAGAAACTACCTCAGGCTCGTCGGGGCTCTTACTCAGGGAACTCTCCACTGGCATGGGCTCTCTTTGCTGCTGGAATTTATTGCAGCCTTTCTCCTGCAATGTAGGTAAATGCAGACAGCATGTTGAGCTACGCTGGTGTCTGATCAGCATTGTCGAACTGGTCCAACCTATTGCTTTACAGATTTATCACATGCCGCTGAATAGGCGCAAGCTGTTCTTTGTGGCTCTCCGGTTGTATGTACGACACTGACTTTATGACGTGTGTGAGGTGACATTTTGGCCGTGCAACTTCAATCTGAGAGACTGCTACACAAAAGAACATACATATTGTGAAAGGGAAAGTTTTTGTCATGCACTATGCCTTGGTCAAACTACAACATATAAACCCAATGCTGGTTTATCACGCAATAAGGTTTCACTGTGAAAAAAAAGTAGTTGTAATCAACGAACTGGGATTGAACTCGGGACCTCCAGTGACTTTTCTAGCACTGTCGTTCCACCACTTGAGCTCTGCAGGATGCTAGCTAATTGCAGAAGCTCATAGTGCAGGGATACTCAGCAGCATTATAGCGAAGCCCACATATAACGGCCCCACTTAGAACGAACAATATCCGCATCACCGTGAAAATATACATTGGTTCAATGTCACAAAATTGCACATACAACGAACGTCTCCGAGTGCTGCTGATCGGTTACAGCAAACGGAGTCAGCGGTCCCCCGACTTCCCGGGAAACCAATTTCGACCACTGATCGGGCATCAGCGAGGTGCCCATGCATTCATTGTTAAACGCCGACCCTGCCTCCGCGACCCTCTAGTTTTCGCTCTCCCCGACAGCTTTTTTGTCACGCACCCCTTCATACTTTGTCCCCCCCCCCTTGCTAATCTGAGCACCCCACATCACCAGACAAGGCCCGCGTTTTCACACTGCCACCGATCTTTGGAAGACTGGTTGGCCATCTACCCTGTTTTTGATCGCTGGTACTGTCGTTGGTGTCGCCGGTTTGGAGTGACCAGACCATTCGCCAACATCGTCGGTCACCGACTGTATCCGATAGTCTGCGTCTAGTGCACGCGCGTACGCTACCCCACCGGCTCTGGTGATTTGCGATTCATTTCGTGTTTAGGACTTGTTCTCGCTCATTTCGCACTCAGCTCAGCATGCCTTCCGCACGCGTGCGGATGCGTGAAAACAACTGATAATTTGCACGGAATGAATCGCGAAATATCGATGTTCGTGAGGCCACGCAAACCCGCTGGCGCAACAAAACGATTTTTTTGACCGCGTTTGCCGATTCTTCGAACACCGCCGCGCGCACCGAGCCAGGTGGCAATGCTTTGACTTTTGCGCGTGCAGGCACTCTTCCCAAGTTTTTCTACGTGCTAGTTTCGTGGACCTTTCAAGCAAGCTACCCAACCTGCCTTCTTCCTGTGTGTTTTGGTTTTCAAGGTCGCCCTCCCGTTGCATCCTCCCCTCTCTTTATCGCAACTCCTTGCCCTTCTCTCGCAAGTCTGCTCTCCTCTCTTGATCACAACCCCTTCGCCCGTCTCCACCGCTCTGCGACGCCCACCACGCTGGCTCGAATTAGCTTCGTTTTCTGACTGGAAACGGGCTCAGAGCTGTTCCACGTGGTCTGGCGGCACGTGTGTTGCGTGTGCGCTCTTGCTCGCTCTTGGTGTGCGTGTGTGGTCATGATGGCCGACGGGAGCACCAGCGCACTTTTTACTGCGCTCAACAAAACGTCGAAAATGTGACCGCTTGGCTTGAGCGTAATCTGCGCGGTAGGTGCGGCGTTGCGGAACGCTTGCTCATAGCTGTTGACCACCTGGTAGCCAACTTGCCGCTTCAAACGTCTCGGTATTCAGCTGTAGAGATGGTGAATATTTCGTGGGCGGCGGTGACGACTACATGCGTGCAAAACTGTTTTCGCGCGGCCGACTTCGTCGACGTCAGGTCCAATGCCAAGCTTGAAGCTTCCGAATTGCGGCGGCGATTTGTGGCACCTCGTCGTCGACTCCGACCTGGGAGAGCAGGTGGGACATCTGCTGCGATGGTTTAATTACGGCCGATGATGATGTAGTAGTAGATGATGTAGTAGCGATGATGTAGTAGATGACACTGCGGAACCATGCACGGATTGGGGCATTGTGAAGTACGTGGCGAGAGAGATTTGGAGGAATCGGTTTGCGAGAACGACGAAACTTTGGAGCCAGTGCCTCATGCAGCTTATGCGATGGGCCTCGGCGAACGAGCATTCTGCCGTTTTAAATGAACTCGAGACCGCCATTATCGCTTCTGCTCTTCGAAACACGGGCATCACAGACTTTTTGGGGCAAAAAAGTTTGTGTTTTCACTCGCAACTTTTTTTAAAAGCCGTGTTTCGTTTACTACGAACTTCGAGATACAGTGAACGGATGCCGCGTCACGCTCAGGTTCGTTATAAGTGGGCTCAACTGTACTAACTGTTTATGCAGGTAAGTAAGGATCAAAAAAGCAATAAAAGTCGTTGTGCACCTACTTACTTGGGTGTTCCTTGTCTAGTAGGTCTTTGACATGGGTCTTTTACACCAAGTGTATAGAAGCCTTAGATGCAATTTATGTGTGTGGCATACTTGTATCTGCATGCACCTTTCTTCACAGTTCTTGTCTTGTGAATGAAGCGATAAACATCCTCTTTGCCCTTTAGTACTGCTGTGTTATCACATTGTGCTTACTGTATTTACTCGCGTATTGAACGCACTTTATTTTTCGAAAAATCGGAGCAAAGTTGGGAGTGCGCTTATTATGAGGGGCAAATTTTATGAAAACTTTTTCGGGATGAGCAAAAAATGTGGTAATGCAAAAAAAAAAAAGTTAGGTCCCTTAGCCTTTCGCAATTAACATACACGTACACCGTTTGGAAACAGCTTCTTTTATTTTATTTTTATTTACAAATACTGCTGTCTCACAGTTCGAGACATTGCAGGAGTGGGTCCATAACAGTGAATACACACTAAACTAACAAAACACATGGTTTGGTAGTTCATTCAAAAAACTATTGGTAGGCAACTTTCGGAGAGAAACATCCAGATTATTCCACTGTGAAAGGCAAAAATGAAAACTTAAAACAATCTAGAAATGGCATGAAGGGTGTGATGTTAATGGGGTTTGACCTGCGAGTGTTTGCAACGGAGTTGGCAAAGGAAAAGGGCATGTCAATGGTGATTATCTTGTTCACGATTTTATGTAAAGTGCCGATACGCTCGCAAGTACGTCTGTGTTCAAGTGATTTGAGTGATAGACGTACAGCGTGTGACGAAGGCGAAAAATTGTGATCATAACGGTGATATATGAATCTTATTGCTTTTTTTTAACACCTTCCAAGTGTGCTATGTCGCATGCGCAGTGAGGTGACCAGACAACGGAGGCGTATTCAAGAACAGGCCGTATCAGGGATTTGTATGCTGTTAGTTTGCATTCGTGAGTTGCATCTTTTAACGTTCGCTTCAAGAAGCCCAATTTTCGGAGCGCTTTCGAGCAGATTAGGTTTATATGTTTATGCCATTTTAAGTTCGGTGAGAATGTTACGCCAAGATACTTGTATTCGTTGACATGCTTCATGTTCTGGCCATAGGAAAAACGTAGGGGTTCCTTCTTGTTTGTGAATGTCATGCTTACCGTTTTGTTAAGGTTTAGTGCCATTTGCCACGTTGAGCTCCAGGTACGGAAAGAAGAAAAAACATTATTTAACTGTATTTGGTCACGGGAGGTACTAATACAAGAATAGAGGACACAGTCGTCGGCGTATAGACGGAGTTTGACCTTTGTATTTTTTGTTATTTCGACAACATCGTTGAGATAAATTAGGAAAAGAAGAGGCCCAAGGACCGAGCCCTGCGGCACACCTGATGTGACAGGGAGGGATGACGAATGCGAATTGTTAAACGCGACAAACTGCTGCCTTAAATTTAGGTAATCTGAAAGCCAAGATAACAAGCGAATGCCGTGAGTGCCGCGCAGAAAGGCTTTTAATTTGAGAAGGAGTTTATTGTGGCAAACAGTATCAAACGCTTTCGAGTAGTCAATAAAAATGGCGTCCACTTGACCGCGATCGTTTAAAGTCGAAGCGATGTCATGCGTAAACCCCAGCAACTGCGTGACTGTTGAAAATCCTGCACGAAAGCCATGTTGATTTTGGGAGAGGAGGTTGTTTTCAGTTAAATATGTGACTACATGTTTGTGAATAATGTGCTCTAGAATTTTACAGCAGGTGCAGATTAATGAAATAGGTCGATAGTTTGGAATTACTTGTTTGTCGCCAGATTTGAACACCGGAACAACTTTTGCATTTTTCCAAATCTGCGGTACAATTCCTGTTTCAAGGGATCTCTGAAAAATGACTGTTAAATACCTCGCATTCCATTCAGCGTAACGTTTTAAAAATGTGTTAGGGATGTTATCAGCGCCGGCACTCTTATTTGTGTCGATGTTCAGTAGGAGATTGACAACTCCAGCGTAACTAATCTGTAGTTCTGGGAAGGCAGGCAATTAACTGTCAAGACCGAAAGCGGGACTGGTACCATCATCTGTACTAAACACTGATTTGAAATAACCATTGAACGCTTCCGAGATAGTTAAAGAATCCGAAGAGGGCTGCTCGTTCACAATAAGTAAGGAAGATGTCGGGCCTGCAGGATTAAGAGTTTTCCAGAATTTAGATGGGTCGTTTTTCATAAAGGTTGTTAACGAACTTTCATAGTAGAATTTGCGGGCAGCATGCATTTTTTCTCTTAGCTCTGTTTTCAGAGAGTTCAATAAGTGCTGGTTGTTTAGGAGAGTGTTACGATGCCTTCGAAGTCGCTTTATTAGCCGAGTAAGCTGAATAATTTCTCTGTTTAGCCAAGGATGCCGAGGGTTTCGTTTTAGGCACTTCTGTGGGACATATGTGTGTATGCAGTGTTCAACAATCTTATAAAACTGATCAACTAACAAGTCCACATGACATTGGTTGCTATTGAACAAGAAATCATCAAAAGACGCTGCTAGAACTGCAAGAATTGAATTGTCGTCCGCGTGGGTAAAATCCAGAACCGTTTTGTACGTCGGAAGTTTGGGTTCACAGGCAACATTCAAGCTAAGAAGGACAGCCTTGTGGTCAGATACCCCATTCACTGCTTCACATTCAAAACCATTCTGCTGTACAGCCTCATTCAAGAATACAAGGTCTAAAATTGCATTTTCCCGCGTAGGAACATCGACTACTCGGGTAAGATCAAACGACACAACAAGGTCAACTAAAGCTTCACTGAGTGCCCTATCGCGACCAGTGGGTAAGAGTAAATTCCAGTCAACATGCGGTACATTAAAATCACCACATAAAATCAGTTTAAATTTGTGAAGCCTGTTTTTCAATATATAATCACTAATAGCAGGAAAAACAATGTGGTCAGTACCAGGAGGCCGATATATTACGCCTAATACGGTTATTTTCCCCCCAACGCTGATTTTGCACCATAAAGATTCTGACTCGGGAAGGTCGGGTAATGGATAGAACTTCAAACTATTCTTTAAGAAGATGGCGACACCGCCACCGCGGCTGTCCTCTCAGTCTTTACGTAGCACCGAGAAACCCGGGGGTAGGAATTCAGCCTCAGAAATAGTATTATTTAACCATGTCTCAGTAACACAAATTAGTGATGGGGCGTAAGTTTGGATGAGCCAATTAAAATCTACAGTCTTATTCACCAAACTGCGAGCATTTACGTTCAGAAGCACTAATTTACGCTGGCTTCCAGAAAGTCATTCATTGCTACGGGGAACACGATTGCTAGACGCTTCAATAACTGACTTTGTGACGTTGTCCCAGACGTAGCGAACACTGTCAATTACTAACTGATCGTGCTGTAGTCGTACTTTTTTGGCTACTTTTCTTAGGTCAGCAGAGTGTTGCCATAGTTCCTTGCGGATTTGTCGAACCCTGACTGAAAAATCTTCGTTGATGAAGATATCCGTTCCTTTTAATTTGCTAGCCTTGCTTAAGATCTCGGATTTGGTTCGAAAATCGAGTAGCTTGATAATTACTGGCCTTGGACTGTCGCTTCTGCGTATTCCGAGGCGATGACAGCGTTCGATGTTGTCACATTCAATATCAAGCTTCGTTGATATAAGGTTCACGACCGACGGTAGTAGCTGCTCGGGTTTCTCATCATGTGGTTCCAGCAATCCATGTATTATAAGGTTATTTCGTCGTGATCGATTTTCCAAGTCGTCGTTTTTGCGATCAAGTGTGTGCGCTGCTTTAGTTAGATCGTTAATTTTAATCTCCATTTCCGGCACACGTTTCACAAGATCGTTATTATCAGTGACACTAGACTCCAACTTTGTTAGACGGGCTTCGAACGCTGCAACCCTTGTGGTGAGTGCTAATATATCTTCGCTAATACGTGTTTGCTCAGCTAGCAATTCTAATAACATTTGTTCAGTTTTGGATGCGGGGCCGGGATTGGTCTCGACGTCACCAGACAAAAGTAGCAAAAATCTCAAGACAATTTTTACACTAGTGACAACACTCAAAAGCCATGCGCAGGTAGGGTCCGGCAGAAGCAGCAAAAAACGGTTGTCACTTCTATGGCATTTATACCGGTACGGATTCCCTACCTGCAAAATGAAGCAGAAGACACTGTAGCGACTGCACATCATGCCGCTGCCGGACCCACTGAAGGGGAGCGTCGGCGACGATGCTTTTATGTCTGTTTGCCTCCAGGTAGGTGTCGCTGCCGTCCCACGCCGTGTGCAATTTGGCCAGCTGATCATGGACCAGCCGACGGGCGAGCACCACGTGGCAGCGGGCACGTCCCAGAGAGTCGATAATTTGGCGCACGTGCTGTTATTGAAGGCTTCGTCATGCCGTTTGAAGGGCGCGTTGCAAAGGTGGCTTTTGGAAGGGGCATGCAAGTGGAGATAGTGGTTTCCCAGACTGGCGGCAATCTGCAAAATGAAGCAGAAGACACTGTAGCGACTGCACATCATGCCGCTGCCGGACCCACTGAAGGGGAGCGTCGGCGACGATGCTTTTATGTCCGTTTGCCTCCAGGTAGGTGTCGCTGCCGTCCCACGCCGTGTGCAATTTGGCCAGCTGATCATGGACCAGCCGACGGGCGAGCACCACGTGGCAGCGGGCACGTCCCAGAGAGTCGATGATTTGGCGCACGTGCTGTTATTGAAGGCTTCGTCATGCCGTTTGAAGGGCGCGTTGCAAAGGCGGCTTTTGGAAGGGGCATGCAAGTGGAGATAGTGGTTTCCCAGACTGGTGGCAATCTGCAAAATGAAGCAGAAGACACTGTAGTGACTGCACATCATGCCGCTGCCGGACCCACATTGTTGCCCTTTACTTATCTTCGTTGGTTGATGGCACTATATTCCGCGAGCTGTTTTTTTTTTTTTTTTTTTTTTTTTTAATACCGTGCAGCCAATAGTTCACCGCTCATGGCAATTTTTTTTTTTTTTTTGTCGCGAGAAACACGGTATGCGTTTCCAGCACTAGTAGCTAGCGTGCACGATTAAAAAAGTACTATGAAGTGAACAAAACAAACAGTGTTCTCGGCATTGGCGTTTTGCATTGGCATCTCGAGCACACATTTCCGGATGTTCTTGAGAGACGTTTAGCCAGCGAACGGTCGAGAGTGAGGCGCAAACGGACAGGAGAGTGGGGCGTAGGGAGGAGAGAGAGCAAACATCCGGTTGCTAGGGACACGCTTGCCCTGCAGATTTTGCTATGGGAGAGGGTGGTGGACGGATCCCGATGGACACCTGACATAGCCCAACTAAGAAATGCAATTGCATTAGAACAATATGGCACGCGACAAAAAATGGAAGATATTTACCGGGTAAGTAGGCGCCAGGTGTCGGTTAGCAGGACTGCAGCGGATGAATGTAGGGGATGCGTTTATTACGCGGGGGGAGGGGGGGGGATCTAAATTTTGACAACTGAAGTTATGGGTGCATTTATTATGCGAGTAGGTTTGTTACGTGAGTAAATACAGTATTTATAACCTTGTATGTGCTTACCATGTGTGTATTTTATTATATTTTGTGAGTGGTGCAGTGTGTGAGCATGTTGCAAAATGAAATGGAAGTGTTGTGTACGTCTTGCTTAGTTGTACAACGTCTCACCAACCACTTCGCTTCATACGATAGCTTTCAAATCATGTATTTGTATCTACTGAATACAGTATAGACCGCTTATAACGTAAGTCCCCGTGCAGTGTCCTGTGGTCTATTTTTCATTTTCTTTTTCTTCTCTCCGCCCTTCGTTTCTTCACTCTGTGTCCCCTCCTCCTCCGTAACAATCTCGTCATTCTCTCCCCAGCGGCGCACTCAGTGCACCTCCTTTCAGAAGCGCACTTGCTACCGCATTTGTCACAAACAATTTCTGGCAACCGCATTGTAACCGATCTTGCATCTTGGGAGACTGCACAATAAGCGGTATGTGTATACATGTGGGATGGTAAACGGGAGTAGAAAAACACCGCATTGTAAGCAGTTCTGCACTATAAGCGGTTATTTTATAAGTGGTCTACACTGTACTAATAGTGTTCGCTAAGCTTTCACTTCCTATTCATCACAATTAATGCTGTCACTTTACCCCAATGTTATGTGTAACTCACTTGTGGCACTGGGCCTAGCGGTAAAGTGTCACCCTGACGATTTGAGATTCTGCATTGCGAATTTGGTTTGTGCCGAATCGCGTGTGCTCTTGAGTCATCGCATCTCCCACGTTTTATTTCAGGTCATCATAACAGCACTAGGGATGACAGGGATGTTACCGGTGATAGCCAGCAGCCACAGCAAAAAAAAGGTAGCATGAAACAAGGAATGAAAGCATGCGCTTGACACATTTAAAGGAAATGTTAGTACATTGGGTGTAGGAAGCACTTGTATGGCTGAGCAGCGTAACGTTGATGGACTAGCTGACTCACACTTATAAATACATATTATATAGTGCAGATTTAGTCGGGACACAGGAAGATCAATGTCACACAGAAAAAGTGCGTCTTGTGTGTCAGTGTCCTGCATTAGGCCTGCTCTATCCAGGTATTTATAAATGCTGAGAAGCAAATGGGCTAACCTTTCGAGCTTCTGCCTAACATGCAACACGAATGATGAAGGCCAAGCATGCAAGATGAGTGTTGAACTTCAACTCTTGTAAATTACAGAAATTGCTCAGATATTGCATAGCATGACAACAGAAAAGGGGAACAAAAAGTAACTGAATTAGAGTAATACCCGGGCTACACGAGCGCAAGAAATGACATTCAATAGTTAAAGGACCACATACACAAAAATTTTGCTCATTTCTTTCTTCCAATGGGTAGCTTATGACCCACTTGTCATGGCTGGGAACCTCGCTTGCTCAAGTGCATGACGGTTACTTATTTAAAGACGTTTTTGGAGCGCCGAGTTGCTGTTTCGGTTTCAAAAAGCACCAAGCTAGGGAGGAGCAGCTCCTGTGGCAAGGTAAACACTGCTGGCTACGTGACCATGCAAAGCTGTGACGTAAATGCCACGTGCGTTTGCACCGCACTGACAGCTCGCACAAAGCTGCAGGCACAAAGGAACTAATCGCAGATAGTACAAGCGCAAGGTGCATGCCAAAAGAAAGCCAACACAAACTTCTTACATCGGTTTGGTTACGTTCCCTCCGTGTTGATTTCGGCGTCGCGAGGGGCTCTGCATCTTCACTCAGTGGCGTGGTATGCTCTTTAAAAATCGATTTTAAATATGTTATACTAGACATTTGCCCTTGAATATTTCATAGATGTTCTGTAGTGCTCTCTTCAGGCACTAACATCCTGGATAAAATTATTTTTTTTGGCCTAGCTGCCACATGTCTGAATCTAATGGCATTTCACCTAATGATGCCCATAACAGTGACTTTTGAAATGAACAATATTACAGTAATAATAAAATATAAACACACATTTCAGTAACTCCGCTCTGTGTCCACTAAGCAGTGAAACATAGAAGTAAGCAATGCATATTATGGTACCATTAGCTGGAGTCTGTTCCTGCTTTTTACAATGTAACCAACCAGCAAGTTTGCCCAATGCACGTTGAAACGATAGCCTAGAATCCTACATGGTGCCTGTCATGTGGAAGTTGCTAAAATTAATAAGTATGTTTTACTACATGCAGTGCAACTGGGAACCACCCTATGTGTAAAAAGTCTGTATAAAGTATTTTTGACACGATTCTATTTCAAATGTTGTATGTGTACATTGGAACTTTGATTACACGCCACCGGTTTTGCGACGACCTGCATTTTACGACGAATCGGTTTGGTCCTGGCAAAATCCCCATAGAAACAATGTATTAAAAACCTTGGTTATATGATGCAGTTTTACATCGACCCTGCATCTTACGACGACTTTCATATTCCGTCGAAAAGAAAAAAACCACCTTTACTCTAATCACATGTCAACCAAATATTCACGAGTGCAAAATACTATGAACTTGCATACCCCAAGGAGGACTATAAGAAAAGTAGTCATCTTGATCAAATGGAAAATTTATTCTCCCGGAAGTTCATGCACTTCTACATACTACACGTCAATCGCATGCATACGTATCTGGGGTCGTTACCTAGTCAAGCTCTATGCACATAGAATAGGTGCAGCTGACCAAGAAGCTGATATTTTCACATTTTTGGTCTGTGAAAACATTTCCTGGTCGAGATACGGCTGATCTTCTGCCTCGGTCGTGCTCGCAGTTACTGGTTTGCACACGCATAAGGGCACGATGCAGCCGCTTTTGCCGTACAAATTTACTTTCACTTGACGTCAACGTTCATAACAACAGCGGGACAACACTAGTTGCAGTTCACAAGACGACAAATTACAACGCACACAGCTCAGTCGCGCACGAACGCATCGCACATGAACTCGTTGTTTGTCGCCATTATGCAATAGCAACGGCACTGCGTCAACTCTTCTGATGGGAGGCTCACGGCAACACAGTTTCGGTTTCGTTCTCACGCGCAGGCAATTTTTCGACTCTATTTATCGGTAGAAAGATGCGTGTTGGATTTGGTTGTTTTTAAGGCTGAGAATAAAGATTAATTCGGACATCCTTCAACTAATTATTGCTGCCGTTAGTTACCACTGGCAACAATAATTTAATCTACCTTCATTGCAGAGGCAGAAGGTCGTGCCGTGGGCTCATTCAGGCAGTCTGTACCCGTTTTTCGGGCAAGGCTGAGTTTCACGGTCTATAATCTTAATTCGTCGATTATACGACGCCCGGATTATATGACTGTTTCGCGTGATCCCCTAAAAGTAGTATAATCGGGGTTTCACTGTACTGCATTGAGCATGCCTTGGTGCCGAGAGTGCTTATTTCTCAGTCGAATGAGTTCTAGCGAAGACATTAGGTGACGAACTGCATTAAGGGGGGGCGCGGCAAGTAAAGTGCCGATTTTGGTCAAAATATGCGATTTTCTGATTTATTTTTTTTCGTAATCTTCAGACCTTCAACTTCCTTGTTCTAAAATATTACAGCGAAACGTGCGCTACAAATCCCGCAAATAGTGTTTTTGCCGAGGCTAGTCGCCGAAAAGTGCGAAAAAAAAGCCCCTGAAACGGTGTTGTTCACGCCGCACAAATGCGCCAAGTTGTTGACTGTGGGCCGCCATTTTGGTAGCTTTGGAAAGAGGAGAAAGCCGGCTTCCCGATGGTCGCGGTCTCGTATTTCGCCGAGTGAAAATAAAAGCGCGAGGAGCAAGTAAAAAAACGAAAACGAAGAACGGCAATTGGCTGCGCGGGTCACGTGGTAGCAGGCGCGACCTCTTACTGGTCAAAGCTGCGCCGCGCACCTTGGCAACCTTGGAAGCGCGAGCGCATCTGCGGCCGCCGTGCCGAGAATCATCCGGCGTGCGCTTCGTTTTTTGCCAGTTTGCTGTTTTTGTGATAGTTCGCGTGCTTTTTTTACCAAGCTTTGTTTACATCGGTGGTCTCTTCTGAGTGCTTGCTCATACTGCGGTGCTATGTTGCCGCAAAAAAAGTTCCGGAGCGTCCACAAGTACGGCAAGCGTCGGAAAGCTTGGAACAAAGGGCAGACGACTGCGGCTGCCGTCCCAGTCGCAGTTCCGGACGGAGCATGCTCTTCAAGCGTCACGGAGCCTCTACTCAGACCCTTCGCTGATTGTTGTGAGGCCGAGAGTGTGGAAGGTGCCACATCGTCGTATGTCAGACCGCCGGATGCCGTCGACGCTCTCGCGAACCCGCAATCGGGACGCTCTCGCGAACCCGATTGCGGTGGCACCGCGTCGGCAGCCGTTGCAACTCCGGGCGTGCGCGCGTCGAACATTCTATCGCGAGTTTCGGCCCAGATTCCGAGCAGTGAAGAAATCGCGCAGCGGGCGCAGACAAGGCGGGATGTTTTGGATGCCGTAGCATCGAAGTCCGCTTCAAAGCGGAAGCTCGAGCTTCTGAGCGAAGGCTGCGACGAAAATGACGGCGGTAAGGACTCCACATTCTTCATTGTAAATAAGAAGATGCTGAACGGTCTGCTTTCGTCAGTAAAGTGCAACAAGTGCGACGAAGGGTCGATACGCCTCGAGACTACGCACTGCCTTGGACTCGCGGCGAGGATGGAACTTTTTTGTGACAATTGTGGCTTAGTGAACAGTGCGTGGTCGTCCCCGAGGTGCTCCGGGCAACAAAAAACGAACCCCTTTGAGGTAAACGTGCGTGCTTTGAGGGCTGTGCAGTCAGTTGGCAGAAAACAATCTGCCATAAATGACATTTTTTCTGCGATGGACATTTCGCATCGAGCACTGCACCACAAGTCCTACCAGAGACTGCAAAGGAAGTACAGCCACCCTGCCACCACATCAGCTGCCACCCGCATTGAAGCAGAAAGTGCACAGAAGGTGCATGACATTTACAAGGACCTAGGAGGAGTGCCAGGCAACATTGACGTCATTTACGACGGCACGTGGATGACGAGGGGGCACAGAAGTGATATTGGCGTGGGCTGTGTAATCGAGCTGTACACAGGCTAGGTCTTGGACCACCGTGTCCTGTCCAACTACTGCCAAGGCTGTGCTGTTGGCCCCAAGCCTGGTGACGACAACTATGAGGAGTGGCTTGAGAAACACAAGCCACAGTGCCAAAAGAACACTGATGCTAATGCAGGCCAAATGAAAGTAGAAGCAGCTAGGATCATGTTTGAAAGATCGTTTACCAAGTACAAGCTTCGATACATCAATGTGCTCTGCGACGGTGACAGCCGTACGTACCTTGCCCTCACGCAAGACAAGGTGTATGGCTACATGGTGATTAAGAAACAGGAGTGTGTGAACCATGTGAAAAAAAGAATGGGCACTTCCTTGCGCAACCTTCTTGATGAGCACAAATCCAAAGGCCGAGGACTAAGCATGGGTGGCAAAGGCCGGCTGACGCAGGGCCTGATAAAGAAGTTAACGAATTATTATGGCTGGGCCATTAAGAGCCACCCCAACGATGTTCCTGGCATGGAGAGGGCCATCATGGCCACTTATTACCATGTAACATCCACAGACCAGGATCCACACCACGACCTGTGCCCAAGTGGGACTGACTCCTGGTGCCCGCACAATCAGGCATTGGCCAAGGGAGAGCCGCTGCCGCCTCACAAACATAAACTGCCCCCTCACGTGCGAGTGGCACTGCTGCCAATCTACAAGCGCCTCTCGAACAAAGAGCTCCTTGAAAGGTGTGCGCAGGGAAAAACCCAGAACGCTGTGGAGAGTATGAACAGCCTCATTTGGTCACTCCAGTCCAAGAGCCAGTTCGCCTCCCTTTGAAGTGTGGAAAGTGCAGTTGCAGATGCAGTCTGCCGTTTCAATGGTGGCTGCAAGAGTGCGCTGCAAGAGATCACTGCTCAACTGGGCTTCAATCCAGGAGACTGCTCTTTGCGGCGAGCAGCCGAAAAGGATGCCAAAAGGGTGAAGAGGGCTCAAAAGGTGCATTGTTCCACGACAAAGAAGTGCAAAACTGGGTTGCGCTCTACAGAGGCCAAGGCCACAGCATCTCAGGATTACTGCCCAGGAGGATTCTGAGTGTTTTAGGCATGTTGTGAACTTCCAAACAAGAGTGAACTTTCAAAGTCAGTTTTCTCAACTCTTGATTTTCGCCTATGTGCCTTCGCTAGAACATCTGTCATTTTCTAACAAAGACTGATAGAGTCGTTCCGTTTTTTGCACTAGGCTCAGGAGGCCTTTAGCAGTGCAATAAAGCTTTATCTCTCTTCTTACTCATCATTTAAAATTCTTAGAACACATTTTATAATTACTGCAATGTGTGTGCAAAACAACATCCATGTTTTCGAAATTTTATTTATGGTTACAAGAACTAGAAAAATCAACTAATAGCTTCTTTGCACAAGTTGATGCTTTGGGAACATAATAATATGAAAAAATAATTTCATTTAGCAATAATTATCTCTTTAAGTGTGAAGATCATTAATTAGTATAATTATGCTTGTAACTCAAAAAGTACAAGAGGTATTTGAAAACGGTTTTCATATTTGGAATCCTCACAATCATCCACATACACACACCAAATTTCATCACAAACAGTACATTAATAAAAAAATTAGTTTTACTTGCCACGTCCCCCCTTAAGGCAAATGCAATTTGATTCTCCCACGTGGCACCGTGCAAATGGCAATAAATCTTAAGGCATCAGGAAGGTAAGGCCATTTTCTGTGCCCCCTGTGGTGCTGGTAATAATAAGAGATGAGCAATTTGTGAATGAGCCGTAGCTTATGTTCAGTCCTCACCTTGATCATTCCTTTCTCCACCATCATCCTACACACTGTCTGCCACATTAAATCAATGCTAACTCTCCAAATTTGTCGTTTTCTTGTGACTATACGGTGTTTCGTGTTAAGTGAATTGGCAGCTATCAAGCTAGCCACTCTTAGCATTTAACTATATCTAAAAGTGAAATGTGAATATTTTGGGGGTTTTCATTTTTTGCGAAATCATGCACCCACAGTTTTGAAGCTAACTGTGATATTTCTAATGCATTGCAAGGGCTATCATCATGTGAAACTTGCGGCATTTCTATCCCACAGCTTGATGCTAAGTCAAGTTCACCTAATTACGTGTAGTATTTGAAGAAAGAGTTATCGATTGTTAAACCCAACTAGTATTTGGTTTAATTCAGAACGTTCAACTCTTCTACTTTGCAACTGCTCTGCAATCATTTTGTCCTTTCATTTTTTTTTCTGAAGTGAGCATAACTGTAATTTAATAAACTGCCGGTTCCTTCTAGTTTATTTGATTAAAAATGTAGTTTCTACATTGAAAAAGAGGACCTGTATCTAAATTTAGAAATTCATTTGTGTTGGGTGATGTTGAAACTGCAGCACAATTCTTATTCCTTTTACCATGTCTACTTCACTAATTTCTTTCTACTTGCTTTTTTTTTTTTCAAACATATGTGCAAAACAGTATCCTATGCATGCTGCTGCATGAAACATGATTTTTCTTTCTTCTATATGATAAACATTTTTTCAAAATGGCGTTATGGGCCTGTGCCATGCATGTTTCAAATATGGCATACCTAATGCAAGGTACATAGCACGAGTTCCTTTGTTATATTTGTGTGTGTGCATGTGTGTGTGGAGCAACCACATTTGAAATTTCGCTGCAACCTCGTGCGATGATGGTGGTGACATTGTCTTTTGAGGTAAGAAATTTAGTTTTAATCTAATCAGTTTGTTTTGTTCTGCTTCTGTTGGCCATTTCCTTCGAAATCTGGAGTCCCCAAAGTAAAAATGGCACGTGCCGCATCAAAGCTGCTGCTACATCAACCAAATATGGAGAGCAGGACTTCTGCGACGTCCTTCTTGCTTAACTTGTAGCTGCACATTGGATGTCAATGTTTCTCTGAAACGACATATGGTAATAGTGGTTTTTCGTATCTGTTCTTAGTTCTCTATTTAAAGGGCGTACGGGTGGCTCTGCGACTGATACTATTTATATCACTAAAGTCACTGCTGTCGTTGCCCTTGGTCATGCTTACGTCTATAGTGACGAGTTAAACACACACTCTTAACATGCTGTCTTCTCTTCTTTCTCTTCAATAAAGTATTTCCTCTCCTACTTTATTACGGACGCTTTTTCATCTGAAGTCTCAAAGGAGGGCTGACAGGAATATAAAACATTTTGGGATAATTATTCTGAATATGAACACTGGTTTCGAGAACCTTAACAAGAGCACTCTGGTGCCAGGGAATGCGTCGCATATATTTTAATACCGCTACATTAAAAAGACACTTTCGGTTTCAATATCAAGAGAATAGCTTCTCCGTGACATGTAGTGGCAGTGTAACATCATAGGGAGGCAGCTATTCACAATATGCTAGCGGCAGAACCACCATCTGCTCGTATTACACGTAAACAATGATGCAAGCGTTGTCTCCAGTGACCCCAGAAGTGGTTTTTGTGATATAGGCGGCATGCAGGACACAGAGTTCGCAAGCTCAATAGAACCGTGTTGACTCGTTGGGATATTTACCATTGCTGTGGGGTTGGCTTGTTGACGCCCAGCGACGAAAACTTTAAAATTAAAGAAAATATTTTATACGTGTTGGCTGACTGCGGTGCGTAAAGAATTGTGTCAGTACACCTTTAAAAAAAATTACGCTGCGTTGCAATTTACATGTTTAAAGGGCTGTTCTGTCTTCCTTTTCTCCTTTGTGTCTTGTTTTGAAGTGTTCTTATGACATTGCAGATTGGCGTGCCTCAAACGTGATGGCGTGGACGTCCTTCCTATCTGCGGCTGGTGTGATCCACCAGAGGGCAGCCGTGTACGCCAAGCTTCTGATGTGGCATGGAGCGACACCAAGCAGCATGTGGCTTTTCACAGGCCAGGACATTTTTCAGATGGGCATCTGCGATTACCGTGACATTCGCATGATCCAAGAGCACGCCCATCTGCTCCATGCCATGCACCGGTCTTCGGCAATGGCTGTAAGTTTTGAGCATGTGGTAGTGGGCCCTCCTCGATGGTGATGTGCATGCTGCCAGCATGCAAGTCATTCTTATGGAGATATGTAGTGGCTTGACAAATTCAGGTCAAAGATTAGTTAGCGTGATGGCATGGCACGAAGATGAATTTTTGGTAAAGTCAAAAGTTAGGCTAGTTATCCCCTCCAGTTATGATTTTTCAGAAGCGCTGAGATTTCTAGAAATGAGGTTTTTTATGTAAATTGTATTTCTTTCCGAGTATTTGAAAAACTTTATATGAATTGAGTATTTGAATATTAATGGTCCATTAGAAAACCATAAACTTGATAGTTTTCGGATATTTGGTAGTTATTGCATTGAATTATTCATCTCTTGAAGGCTCCTACTATAAGCATTTGGGCATCACGTCCAAGTCGCTGGTTATGTGAGACCTGTGCAACAACCAGCAGCCATGTTTGCCCAGAGCTGGAAACCGTAGTTATATGAAGAGTCAGGTTCGGCTCTTCGTCTAACACGATCGAAATGCCAAGTGGCGGTGCATTATCAGCAGCAAGGTGCTCGAAGACTGCACACTTTTGGCTACCTTGTGCTCTTTAGAAGCAATTTTTAAAGCATTTCCAGTTGAGTCTTGACATAGATTTTTTTTTCCAAACAGTAGAGGCACTAATCTTATCAAAACAAGTGAAAATAAAGAATCAGTAATTTCTTAGTAAACTCGTGTTTTTGACCCGCATCTCTAGTGATATATTGAATTTGTCTGGCGAGCTCATCATGATCTTAAGGCAGGGAATAAATTTACACATGTTAGTTTGCATGCGTGTGTGACTGTCTCCGTGTGTTCCAAGAGATGCGGCTCATATTCGAACCCCGCGAGCCGTGGCCATTGGTACAATGCCTTGAAACTTCTGATGAGTAATGCTTGCCACCTACATCCCAATGGTCAAAGGCATCATTTACAGGAGTAGGGATAGATTTGCTGGTGCAGCACTGAGTATGTGTTGTAACAACACATCTTAAAGTGAGAAAAACCCTCTATCCATTTAATTGAGGCGTTAGAATGCAATGTTATGCTCACACATGTCCTTTTCTTTTTCCTAGCATTATTTAGGTAACATTCTCGACGGTCGTTTTAATGTAGTACATCTGTCTAAAGACTGCAAAATTACAACATATGCCAGATAAAAATTTCAGAATGAAATTCGGTAAGAAATAAACCGCTCCTCTCACGTGGCTGAAATGGAGCATGAAACCACTGAAATAGCTTTAAGGTAATGAGCACGTCCTGCGTATTTCTCAGTGATTATAGTAAAACATAATCAATTGCCACCACCTTTCCTATTTTTCTTGCTACCTTCTGGCGTTTTAGTAGGGTTTCTTCGGGACCCGGGACAACTGGTATTGTCAGAGCAAAAGCCTCCAATATGCAGAGGCGTAAAGTGACTTTTTCATTTAAAAAGGGGTGCATGCATGGTGGCACCGTGAAAGAGGCAGACTGCCAGAAATGCAGCATAACTATGTACAGAACAGTACTTTGCAGTAACTGTGATGTACAATTTGCACACCCTGATGCATACCATTGCTTAGAAATTGATGCGATGCCACAGTAAGTGTTGGCTTAAAGTGCCCTTCATGAGGCCCTTTCTTTACTTTATTTACTAAAGCTCCAAAGATATTCCTGCTCTTCCGCATGTCCATTGAAAGCATGGTGGTAATGGCAAACTAAGACGGTAGCACACAAATCACTGAAATGGCAGCAGGCCCAATAGATGACTCGTCTGGCTAACCCTTACGCGCATGGCTCATGCATCTGCACAGTGATTTGCCATGAGCAAACACTGGGGTTTTCGCAGAAGCAAAACATGCTTTTACTCGCCATCTAGAGCTAACAAGACAGTCACCACATGCGTGGCAACTGTGGACTGACAAGAAGGGAGTCCTCTCAATGATGTTTCATCTTCTGCATCTAAATGCAGATACCTGCTGAAGCACCTAGTCAATTTTCTAGCCACATGTAATACATCGCCTGCTATTTATTGGTTCGGATGAATGAGGGTGGCTTCAGTGTGTCAGTTGTGGCAATGATGTGTTCTCGGTGTTTTGTTTTGGTGTTGCCAGTGCGGCGAATGCCGCACTGGCAACACCAAAACAGACATGACTGCGGCGTGTGCAACAAACACTTGTGTAGACATGACTGCGGCGTGTGCAACAAACACTTGTGGCGCAAGGAAAACAAAGACGTTTGCGGGCAATCGCACGTGTCAACAGACGACTTCAAAAGGGGCCACGACCAATTGAAAAGCGGCACGGCAGCAGTAGAGGAGAAAATGAGAAGAGCAGTCATGTCCAATAAGAGGATGGCACGGCAGTGGGAGAGAGGAAGAGTACGACGACAAGGTAGAATGCCAAAAGTCTGACTTGGAGAGTGCAGAGGAAAAGACACAGGTGTCAGGGTCTGTGCCATTGCACTTCGGGTTTGAGCACATAGGGCCCAACAGCGTCTGTCCCCAGACGTCCTTGGAAATGGGCGATCCTGGAGCCAAGGCGTTACCTCCATCCTCACAGTTGATCCAGGCTGCCAAACCTTTGCGGCGAGCCGACTTTGCCGCCCCAGTTACCGAGTGAGACCCAAGGAAGCAAGAGAGCAACACGACGCTGGTGCAAGCGTCCGTACTGTTGTCCTTCGGGAGCGACTATGAAGCGCCCAACAGCGTCTATGGGCCTCCGCAGCTGAGTCACTCACGGTTCCTGCTGCCGGGTGCTTCGCCCATCCAGACCAACGGCCTGCTGTTCGCCTGTGTGCGATGTACGTGGGCAAGAGGATTGCCGGCCTTCCGTGCCTAGATTCCTCCGTGCCAGAGACGTCTCAGCCTACCTGTGTCCTTGTCCACCCCACGATTTCTCGTGCCGCCGACTCGTCGTGCCCACAACGGCTACGCTGCCAAGCCAATGCAAGCATTGCGACAACTGATGACGTTGCCCTCCCCCCCCCACCCCCTTTTTCTTTAACGGTCCTAAGTATTGCATAGCTAATGCATTGCCGATAGGGGTAGTTTTAGCGCTTCAGTTCACTCTATTTTGCGACCGCTTGTTTGTTTTTTGTTTTTGCAGATGTCATAAAGTTATATTTTGTGTGTTTGAAAAATGGCTCCTCCCTTTTTCGGTCCGAGGCCTTGTCTCAAGTGAAACTATTCAGAACACGAAAAACGTGAATAACATAGGTGTAATTACCAGGGCCCTTGCTGTACTGTGTTCCCGCACTTGCTGTTGGAATGTTCATACTCACCCCCTTGTTGTCAGTGCACGGTTGCCATGCATTTGGCGAGCATCTTGTTGGCTCAACATGGCTAGCGCAAGCCGGTTTTGCTTCTGCCAATAGTGCACATTCCACAGTGCGTTTTGTGTTCCTGCCCAAGGGGGGGAGGGAGGTGACGGGGAAAGACTCATCCATGAAATAATAGCACTGCTTGGCAGATAGCCGGCTCGTAGCTTTTACCTGTCACATCACTGCAGGTACCTGGTGCCGCTGTCTAAGTCATTGATAGGCCTTTTCCCGCATTTTTTTTTTCTTTCGATAAGATTGAAGGCTTTTTACAGGACATTGTGCTGTCGGCCGCACCACGTGTTCAAGGGCACAGTTAACATTCTGTCGACAGCTCGCGACAGTGGTATGCGCCAACCAGTAGGGCATAGGATGAGCAATGACAGTAACGAATACTTTCAGGCTCTATCAAGTCGCAAGTTTGAAATTTCTCATAATAACGATTTTAACTGGAGAAGGCTTAAGAAAAGTATACATATTAGTGATGTTTTCTCTTTGATCTTATTGCTGACACAAAATTCGGAACCTCGTTTTCTGTCCTCGATCAGTGACTTGTTAATTGTGAGATGAGTGCTTAATCATATACTCTTGTTTTATAACCTTGTCACGTTATGTTATGACGTGGCAACATCTTTCATATTTTGTACATTAATGCTTGGTTAAGAATGCAAGGAGCGAAAAAAGCATTGAGAGAGTTCATGTATTGCCTGACCCAGCATCCCCTTTTGACCTTGATGGGATGTGCAGATTTGAGTCAAATTATGGCACTTAATGTTAATAAAACTTGGATTTTATTTCATGAAGGTTTCTTAGTTATTTGTGTTCTAGTAAATGTCCAGTTATGGCATGTTATCCTTTTTCCTCTTCCAAGTGTGTGTTGTTTATACAGCCCTGTGTACGAAACATGTCCCATGCTGCTTCTTGCAGGAAGATCGTCTGGGTATGTCGGGATACCCTGTTGCATTTGATGTAGGTGAGTGGGGTTCCAGGTTCGTTTTTGTGTAAGCCAGTGTTCACGTAGTAGTTTTATTTAACGGAAGTGACGACACGCAGTGTTTTCTGTGTACAGGATGCGGTCAGTTTCGATGTAGTCACTAAAATTTGATGATGAAGACGGCTCGATTCCTTTGTAAGAGAAATGCCCTGAGGAGTAGCTTTTGTCCCTTATACAAGAGGTCTCTTAAAAGCAGGGTATTACATTCTGCTTTTCCAAATAATGTCTATTTTGATGCAGCCATGCTGGTGTGTGTTTTACCCAGTGGTCTTTTAATTCGTGCCTCATACAAAGGGGTTCATCTGTATCTCAAGTTGCTTGCAACTTTGTTGTTTGTAAAAAACGAACAGGTATGCAATAAATTTTAACGTCGTGCTACTTTTCGATAGTAAACAAGTGCCCTCAAATCAAGAATAAAATAGTTAAGAATCTTTTTATTAGTCAGTTCGATGTCACTTAGGCTCCAGCATTTTATCCTCGATGTAGAGTTGGCAGGCAAAGATGGCAGGAGCGTGACTATCGTAGAATTTTTATCAAAAATCAATTTGCCCTCTTCCTTACATAAATAAATTCCTTTGTGTATAACACGACACTAAGAAGGTGCGAGTGTTAAAGAGCAGTCTTACGCATGCTGGAGACAAGAGAAAACTCTAAATAAAATTTAATTTAGGAAGTCCAACATTTTGATGCAATATTGGCTACTTCTTCAGAAGTTGGTCATGCTTCTAAAAGGTCGGATTTTTTAAAAATTTCGGTTGGAGTTTTCTTTTTTTCTCCAATTTTGCATCCTGACTTGGCAGGCTTCTGCCAAATTTTCACCTTCGAGTCCTATGCATTCAGTGTGTAATTCTATCATTAGCTAAATAATGAAACAAGCTCTGAGGCACATTATGACATGTGAGTCACAAGGATGCAGGTTTGATGCTCGGTCTCCGTGACCGCATTCAGAAAGGGCTTATATGCTTTCAGTTAGATAGGTGCACATTAAAAAATCCTAGGATAGTAAAAGTTCATCTGGAGCCCCCCACTGTGGCACACATCATAATTGTATTGTTTTCTTTGACTGGTATATATCCCAGAAGTTTTTGTAATGACGCAATGCTGGTAGCACAGATAATTCGTCACTAATGGTAATCATTCAATTAATTGTATCTCCTGTATTGTTCATAACACTAGCAGCTAGAGCAGCTATGAAATGACACTTTTGATGGCCATAACAAGACAAATGATTGTACAAGTTTGTACATTACTCACTGCATACAGTAGAAAGAATACTGTAGACTTTCATTAAATGGAAGTTAAGGGACCAGGAAAATGTGCTTCGTTTAACAGGAGTTTCGTTTATGGAAAGAGGAGTAGGGGTGCAGAATTCAGGTATGAAATCAATCATATTAGGGGCAGATCCATTTAAGTTGCTGTTCTATTCCTATTTATGGAAAGTCACTGTCCTTGTACATAATGTTCATGGCAGCACTGCCCAAAGCTAGAGAGTGTTTGAGTACCATGAAACTGTGTTTTACTACTGATTTAGCATATATGTTGCCCAAATCGGTCACTTCCAGTGTACGTAGTACTTCTAATACATTCACAGCACCAAGTGTGATTAAAAGTCAATTTCAAAGGTTACTTTCCCTTTATTGTGCAGCCTCTGCACAACAAGATGGCTTCTCGAGGATTGGGGCATAACACGAGGCGTCCGCAACAGAAGATGGGTTCGTGCCAATGACCACCATGATCAGTCAGGTAAATCACCATTTGTCGTGATATTTTACTTTTAGAGCTAATGCATTTTTGCGAGGGTGAGCTGTTGCACTTGTTCTGAGTACAAACTGACTACTTGTTGCTTCACTTGTGAAATTCTGCAGTCACTTGTAGGCTTCGGGCCTGCTGGCACTCATTTTATACATGTTATCTGCTCATTCGCTGGTTTGCGTCCTTTATGCAGAAATTAATATTCAGCTCTCTTCGACTAAGACATTTTGCCAGAAGGGCATCATCAGACAATGTGTCAGAAGGGCATCATTGTCTGATGCAAGGGTCCTCAAAATTCCGGTCCTCTAAGAATTGCTAAAAGTGAGGCAGGCCACCAACCAGAGTCAAAACAGAGCGACTTTTCGGGATCTGTAGGGATCACTTGTCCTAGGTTTAATTTCCAGAAACAAGGTCTGTGCCTGATTTTGCAGCTTGCACTTTAAAGCTGCGGTATTCATCTTGTAATAAGTGCTTGCAGCTTCGTGACGAAAGAACAGATGCGAGTGTTGCAGTTTGCATAACTTGCTTTGCAGATGTAGATTGAAACAGTGATTGTTACTTGCTTTCGGTGCGCGAGCCATGTTGGGATAACAGATTGATCCGCCTCATTAAATCTTTAGCTGTATCCGTGATGTTTGGTGGAAAATGTTCAGTTTTTGTGTCCCAATTTTATTGAAAATTAGGTGGACAAAGTCTCACATTGATTGCATTTGTGAATGGTTCAAATTTCACTAATTTGAACCTTTAGTTACAAAATATTATGAATGCTCTGGTTCCTGCTGTATATGAGCTTACCTTAATTTTTGGAATTGTAGTTGTATTTACAGTTGATGAAAAGTAAGCATGATAGTCTTTGATGAAATTTTGTGAATATTTGTTTAAAATGAAATGCCGTGGTGCTCCAAGACTGTTTTGAAAACTGTCTACTTACTAGTTTAGGACTATTCGAATAGTATCCCATTACTGTTCGTACTTGATTCGGTGTCATCACTATTTGCACACCCCTACTATAGTCGTTTATGGTGCAAAGCATGTTTCATGTCTGCGAACGAACCGTAGTGGAATACGCAGTTGCAGTGCACCTCATTGCATTGACATCAATAATAGTGGAGAATTTTTGTTCTGGATAAACTGAATGCAAATGCAGTGCTGCTGACAATACACATGGCTATGAATTGTGTGGCGGTCTGTTTGCAAAAATTGAAAACACATGTTCATTCTGTATTTTTGCACATATAATGTGCACCCAAGTTGGCAAAACTCTGCAGTTATTTATAATTGCAAATATATATGCAAGATTCATTTTCAGGCATGGCTTTTCAGTGGTGCACGAAGTGCTGCCGAAAGGTTCCCGTGTATTTGCACTTCATGTTACTCTTCCCCAGCAGTTAGCTTAACATGCTAAATAAAAATTATCAAAACATTTCTTGGGTAGTCTGCATTGCAAGATCCTGAAGAACTGGTTCGGTAAGACATACTAAAATGACTTTCCTGCTGCATGTCATGGGTTCCTGCTCCAGCGACCTCGGAGAATGAATGCTGGGTAGTAGGCGACCGGCTGCATTTGACACCACCGCTTAGACGCACCCGGGTGCTCAAACTAAAGCATGGTATGCAGGCGCAATGGCAACAAGCACTTAACAGTTTTCGTACATGCATAATAAAAGGCAAAGCCTGTAATTTTTGTTGTGTCATATGTGCTTTGCCTGAGTCAAATTTCTCATAATGCTGATTTAAGTCTGGGAGACTCAAAGCAAAGTTTGTAGTTGTGCATATTACATGCCTGCCTCCATTGAATGCATGGGTTCTTTCCTCTGCTTGAAGTAGTAGTTTTGTGTTGCAGTATTGGTACAATAAAGTTTTGGGGCAGCATGAAAACTATGCAAATTCGTATCAGCATCGTCTTCTCAAAGATGATAAAGATATCATCTCTGTGTTCAGGCAAGTGCAAGATAAATGTCGTTGTAAAGCTTGAAACCTAGTTCTTTGTGAACAGCCGCTAGAGAAATGTTGCAAAACTCTGGTGTGATGCCTAGAGACATACTTGCTAGGAATCATACTTTGTCAGATGGTATGGTGTATCAATGGCAGATTATCTCTAGGGCTCATTGTTTGTGAAACCTGTTTGAGAGAACAGTCATCACAGCAGTAGTCACAGTGGTGATGATAAGTCATATTCCACTGTTTTGCTGTGGTTTTATTATTCAAGGTACAATCAAACCATCAGCCCACAAAGAAAGCTTTTGGTGGCTCGCATAATTGCTGGTTACCCAATCATACCCAAATAAAGTAATGCAAGGGTGCATGGCAGCATAGTTGCACAAATCGTCAATCGTCATGGGACAACGCTGCTCTTCGTTCTATTGCCACCTATACGCTTTTTTGGCAATTAGTAATAGTAAAAAAACAAAGACTAAATAGGAAAGTATAACTAAAATAGAAAAGGCATTGTTTCAAGCATTCGTGGTGAATAAGTTGAGATGCAGGACACAGGTAGCATTCTTAAAAGCTATGAGCCAAAGATAGGTGAATTCCCTTATCAATCGACTCACTCACACTCACTAAAATTCAGTTCGAGCTGTGAGTCTTAGTGTGAGCGAGTTTGGGTGAGTAATATTTTGGTGAGCCTGAGTCCAGTTGAAGAAACATTCGCGAGTGTGAGTCCTGAGTCAGTTTGGCGCAGGAAAATTTTCGTGAGTCTGAGTCTGAACGTGTCCAAAGCACAAAATATATTTTTTAGCGAGTCCAAGTGAGTTCCACTTTTTTGTGCTGACCTATGGTCATATCTGCTGAGCTTCAGCATTACTATTAGCCTTACCTGGATTCAAGTACTTGTCTCTATTCACACTTATTCTAAAGCAGGGTCGTTCATACACCATTTCAATAGTTGATTTATCCGAGGCGAGAATTACGTAGAGGAGGGCCTTGACTTCTCTCCCCCCCCTCCCTGCCACTTTTCCAAGGAAGTACATGATAGATATATTTCATGTTCTTATCTCTTTAAGAAAAGTGACCTTGCTGGTTTACAAGCGCTCGACTCGTATGCTAAGGTATATATAATTTGAAATTGTGATATTCGATAGTCGGGGGTGGGGGGGTGTATTCTGGTTTTGAATCGCAGAGCAACTCAACAGTTTTGGCATCGCACTGCAGAGAAGGCTACCTTCCACATACGCACACATCAAAGAAACATGACAAACGCCAGAAAAACTTGCTTGCGCACATGATCACGTAGAAGAGCACACAAGCAGTCATAAATGTCACCGGAACCATGTTCAGACATGAACTGGCGTCTGTCTTGCGTCCTCAAACAGTGGTGTCCTCACCGAAAGCAACAGCCGCAACTGTCAGCTTGGCCAAGATGTGCTTGCCCATTGACAGCAATGAGGCCCTGGAGGCTGCACCCCTTTTTTATGTAGTGGACGGGGGGGAGGGAGCAACGTGAGAAACTACGTGCATCATTCATTCGATAAGGTATGAACGAGCCTTATGTAGTCTGAAATAATCCCGGGGCCCTTATCACCCAGTATGCAGTTTGGAGATATCAAGCTCTTCGTTAGTAATAAAAGTAAGAAAATTTACTGAAAAAAGCACATCTCAAATGGGGCTAGCAGATAGCTATTACCAGCACGATGGCCTCTGTCTACTGAGAAATAGTGTAATGCGTAGCCCACAGGTGCACATGTGCCCATTGCAGTGATTTGTTGGCTAGGTTATTTTACTGCTTAGAGTAACATTACGGCTTCAATTCTCCATCAGCGGTCACATCTCAGTGGGGTAAGAGTGCATAAATTCTCATGTAATTGCAAATAAAAAAAATTACGCCATCTCCCTCTAAAGGAAACCGTATGTAGGTACGAAGCAGCAAGCGCTAACGCTTACCCTGGCGGTGGCGTTGCGCAGAAGAGAAACCTAAGGAGGCGCAAAGCACGCAGTGATGGATCGGTGTTTCCTACTGGAACATGCCAATCGCTGCTAATAGGGAATGAGAGACAGAAGGACTCCTATTAGACACAGAGACCCGCAGTCCACATTTAGTTAACACGGATGCTGTGAATTTTTATCGTTCAATAACGCACAGGAGAAACCTCTCACCGGCACTACATGGGATGTCAATGTCGGGTTCTGCAATGAACGATTCTGCAGTGCGAGCAGTCTGTTTTTTCAATCAAGAAACTCTCTAGCATAGTCTGGCTGCGTCGGCATTGCGAGGCTTTAGGGAGGGGGAGCATATGAGAGGAGAAAGAGGGGGGAGAGTTCATGCGCGCAGTACAGGTGGTCGCGCCGCTCACCGGATTGAGCTCAACCCTACGCTGCTTCGCATCTAAAAAATGAGGTTATAATTTATTTAAAGGACTCTACAGTGGTACCTTTCCTAGTCCCAGTAATGTCTTGAAGCATGAAACACCGTAAATCAATCATTCAACTCGTGGCCACATAAAATAAGCTCGAAGTTATTCACACATACATATGTATTTGCAGGTTTGACAACATTGTTCGTGACCCTCTCTATGCTGGCTAACATTTGGTTCTTTTTTTTTTTTTTTCATGCAGGCTTCATTACGACTTCTCTGAACTTGAGGTCTGCCGCTGGAGAGTCTTCAGTCAAACAAAGGCTTGGGTGGCATTATTGAAGATTCGACACGTGTGTAGTAGTGATGCTCCATGTCACCCGTCAAAAACTGCCGGACGCTCTTATTGGGAAGGTGTGGGGATCGAACTGCGATTCCCTGTTTTCTATCAAAGATCGATTGTTGCTTGTTCTTGTGCTTTATCTTTGACAGGTGAAAAACAGTCAAATATAAATGGCAGCGGCATGGCATATTAGGTGCGTACCTGATGTTATGTGTGATTTTTGCGTCTTCAATTTTCTTTGAGCTGTTCCAGTGTTAATAATATTAATGCATGATCAACTTTACCACTGACCAAAGTACAAACACCAAAGTGCCAATAGATTTAAGACTCCTGAAACTGTGAATAAACCACTTGTACACTATTCAAGATCATTGCATGGTACAATAATCTGGCAAGACTCAAATGTCTGGTTTTATGTTCTTGTTCTCCCTTTGTTATTGTTTTTCCAAGCCCAGGAAAAATTGTTTTAGAATAATTTGAGGACAGTGTTTGCTTAGAGCTGCTTTGGTAAAGTACTGATGAAAAACTTTATAGATCAGATAACTTGTGAGGTAGATCGATGTGGGCATGTGTCATCCAGAAAATATCAACAATGAATGTAACCTAAACATATGTAGGTCAACCATTAGGTGTATCCCATACAGCTGAGCATAAAATGAAGCATTTAGTGTCACTGACATTGTTGTAGCAATGTTTTAATGTGGTCGTAAAAGTTCTGTGTTAGTACTTTTTAATTTAAAATCACTCGAAGAAAACGTTTCCAGGACACTAACATGATATAAATCTGAGCAACTGATACTTTCTCTGGGTGGCATTGTCATGTTACGCATGTATGTATGTGGCTAAACTGAATTACAATTTGTGTGCACTGTGGTAGTTCCTAATCTTCACTGTTCTGCCATCATTCCCCAAATCATTTCATTTGTCTCGCAGCCTTGTTTATTGTGTAAATAATTATATTGATTTGATGCGGCCAGTTGTAGAATTCTGGCCACCTTGTAATGGCAACTTTGTTTGTATGGTAAAGCACATCCATGCTTCGTTCAGCTCTTGGTGTGATCGGTGGCTAGCAAACATGACATAAATGGATAGCATGTGAAACCATTGCTCTTGTCAAATCTAGGAAACTGCTTTCATGTCTGTAGTGGTCTGTGTATTTCATTCTCCCGTTAATATTCTGGCTGCATATTTCAACAATGCTTGCAGTAATCCTGTTACTTTGTTCAGCACCTTATTGCATGCAATTTATATTTTTTTTTATGAAAGAAACTGTATAGGACACCTGCAAACAGAATTATCAGATTTTTATGGAGCCCATCATGAGTTTTGCTCCTTTTTTTTGTAGCCTAAATGTGTAAAGCTGTGACCCTGTACTTTATTGTAGCTCATTCTATAGTATAGCAGCATTGAGTAGCCACAATTCAGCATGCAAGGTGTTTATAATTCACAACGCAATTTATACCCTCCAGCATGTACGTTGCTTTAGTGTTGCTGCTGCTCTTTCAGGCTAAAAAAACGAAGGATGTCTAATGTAAATATTGAAAGATTATTGGGATTTTGCTTCGTGAAGAGCAGGGGCTTCTATTGTCCCAGGTTTTTTTTCCAGACTGCACTCATTTATTTGGTGCCATTTGTTTTATCCAGAAAGCAACTAAACAGTAATCGATTTCATTTTAATGCATGTTCAAAGATCTCTGGCCGAAAAAGTTTTGTTTACAACTTTTTTACAATTATTTGCACTTCAGTGTCTGGTTACCCTTGAAAAATTGAATCGTAAATGCTCTAACGCATCGTGTAATTAACGCTAGCATGGTGAATTCGGAGCAATATTGTGTCAGTATTAAATGCCGCCTAAATATCGTAAGAAACAAGCATCCCACAGTGGGAAGTGCCTGATGCCTGAGACAGTGTGCGTTCAAGCTTCGGTGGTGCTGAATGTGCCGTTTTCAAATGGCGGGGGGGGGGAAGGATGAAAATATGTGAATGCTTTGAGAGTGGCCCCCTAAAAAAAAAAAAAAAATCATTCTTGGTGTAAGCAGCCAAATCACTTTGAGAGAAGCCCGACAAAAAAGCGAGAGGGGTGATAATAGTCTTTGCCGTGTGCCTGTCGGGGTATTGTGCTTGCCCTGCAAATGCTCTCCGACGTCGACAATACTTGCCTTACTCGTGGAACCGGACACAGTGCCTGTGTCGGGTTCCACATTTAGGAGGTGCAACTCCGCTCCTTGAGGCAACCAGATAATGTCACATTGCTGGAGAGTCACTACATGCTGGCGGTGTTTTGCGACAAAAAAGAGAATAGCCGCCATTTCATTTTCCGAGTGAACCAGTTGGACATGTTGCTCGCGGTCTGCTACAGTCATGGAGCGGAGGCATGGAGCACATTCGGCTGTGCTCGGCCGGTAGCGTTTCGTCTACTTTCTTCGTCGTTGCAGCTTTGCATCGCAAGGCGCCGCCAACTAAAATGTCCCTCGAAGCTTGTTATTTTTGTATATTATGTGACATTTAGTCTAAACGCCTGCAGACGCCTGTTCTAATGGGAGTTCCACCTCCTAATATTTCTTTCTCTGTGGTCTATGTGAAACCAGAGAGGATGTCGATTGGTACTGATAACTCCAATGAGCACTCACCAACTCTTTAAAAACAAAATTAAAATATCTTATGGGCAACGCTCTACACTAATACTTGGCCAGAAGTGCCTTTGCTTGAGAGACTTTTAAACAATACAAACATGTCAAGTTTCCAAATTTGGTTTAAGGGGGTCTTTAAACTGCCTTCATGGTAAAGTAACTGGTCAATGTGGTCAGTTGCACTTTAGTGAAGTAATTTAAATCATTTTATATATAATGCACGTGAGCTGTTGGGAAATAGAAGCATATATTTTCTCCTGTGGAGTCCAATTAAAGTGCATGGGCAGAATATATTTTGTCACAGCTTTGTATCTTATCTCCCCTGTTTTATTTTTTCTCAATAGCTTCTTTTCATTATTGCAGTCAACTTTTATTAGACACCTGCAATCTTGACTGTTCTGTGCTCTTTGAAATGCAAAAGTTTACAGAGCCACCGTGCGTTTCACAATCGGGATAAGTTTGAATGCCGGTATCATCAAAGAACTGCCAGTGTAGGCTGCCCAAGCCATAACACATTTTATTGCATGCTGATCCTGTGCTGTACAAGAAAATCTCAATGTCCTGGGAAGCTTTTAGCCACATTATGGCAAATGTATGTCACTGTGTTCAGCAATAAATTGAGTTTCCGATTTGTGTGAATGAGGGTTCCAGTGTTTAATGTTATAGGTGCAGTGGGAGAGTCAAAATTCAAGTGCCACTGTGTTATGTACCCAATACCGACTTCCGATCTAACATGGGTAGCTACATCTTCTCTGCAAGTGCAGAGCGAATTGCAGTGCAAGAGCACACTGATTTATGAATTTTTTCGTTCTGCCTGATGCAAGCACGTTTCATATGTTTTAGAGTAGGCATTGCAGCGTAAACACTGAAAACTATAAAAGACACATCCATGAGCCCCAGGCAGCATAGATGACAGGCGTTTCACACTCATTTGTCAGGCAACCCCTTCAATACAAGGCATAGCCTCTGAAATTTGCAAACACCATAAGTGCTGATTTCGAAGGCCAAGTACAAAGACCCTTAACTCTACGTAGGTAGCGCCGTTATAGATAACGGGCGTTTCACGTTTATTCGGCAGGCAAAAAAATATAGGAGGCAGTGCCTCCTTTATAAATTTCAGTGCCCGGTAAAAGCGGAAGAGAACAATGGGACTGCTCTGTCGGTGCGAGTGCGGCGCCTGGCTACCAGGCGCCGCCGCCTAAACAGGGTGCCGGAGTTCACTATGTGCCGCAGCCGCCGTGTTTCTGGCTCCGCGCTCAAAATTAAACAGATTAAATCCTTAACGTTCTGCGCTCAAAACGCAATATATCGCGGCTGTAATCGATGAATTATGTTACCGAGTGTTTCCGAGATCTGGTTGCCAGCTTTCACGCACTAGCCACAAGCGAAGAACGCCTCGCTAAATGAATACCGAAAACATGCCGCGTACACACTCACCTACATGCTTGAACATGATGTACATGAATTTCCAACGTTGACTTGCCATGCATAGCAGCTCTATATTCTGCAAAATGAACCCAATTGATGCGATACGAATACATTTTGAAGAAAGAAGGAACATTTATTTGTAGGTACCTCTATTTTCGGTAGCCTCACAGTTTTGCATAGTTTCTTGACAGGGGCTTTTTCGCGAAGTACTTTAAAGCATCATGCTTGTCACTGAGAGTGAATGCATAGTTCACCAGCAGAGGCCGCAAAAACCGAACAGATATCAGCTCCATGAGCTTAGCTCTGAGAATGTCATCCATCTCCTTGCACTTGAGCAGGTTTGAAGCACACAGTGCTGGCACAGCATACTTAACCAGGATAGACAACTGGCTTTTTTTAGAGTCGGATAGTCCTTCAGAGCACGATCCGCAAATGCCCTCAGCACGTCAACGGCAAAGAGCAACTGGTCTGACGGGTAAAGTAGTCCACCTCGGTCCTGGCTGCGAGTGAACTGCAAGAAAGGTTGATTGCTCGCTGGCTTTGTGCAGACTGCAGTGCAACTTCCACAACACATGTGCTCGTTTATGACGCGGGCAATATAGCTCCCAACATAAACAGTTGCAGAAATCTCAAGTGACGGCAAGTGCTGAGGCAAGACTGTTGCATTGAGTTGTCGCAAAACACATGCAGCTCTCTGTAGCTGAGGCAGCTGCTGTGCTAGCGAAGGAGAAGCTTCAGTGAGCAGTGTGCCTGTTGACATTTGGGCACATTCTCTGTGTGCAACGTTTGATGCCATGCTGGATGCGGCAAGTCCAGTTTTTTTTTTTAAACCTTCTCCAGCCCTTGCAAAACAGAACGAACATTCAGCATGTCATTGCAGCCAGAGGACATCCGCAGTGTTCCAAGCAGTGACTCGATGGGGTCACTATTAAACTAACGAGTGAGCACAAACAAGACTTCTCCTCTGTGAGCAGGTACTTGATACAGGCATCTGTGGAATATGTGGTCAGGAGAAATGCTTCAAACGTTTCTTTCGTCAAAAAAATTCCTTTTGACTTTGACAGCTTTTTTCCAGTTCATCCAATACATGGGGCAGCGTGACCTCGAGCCACCCCAGTCTTGCATCTTCAGCATCGTCAAATTGCCGAGTGTCAGGCCATTTTTTTTTTTTGTGGATGTGCTGGGTCGTTTGCTTGTAATTGGGTCGTATTGCTTGTATATCATGCAGCACGAACCAACGATGGATGTTTTGCATGAAAATGATGGTCTGACCTGCAGCTGCGAATGATACACTCGATGTATGCCCAGCTTGGTCTCTGAGATGCTCCAGGGCTGCAGTAACATCAGGCGAGAAGACCTGAATTGCCCTTGCGACATTCATTTTTTCTATGTTATTCGGATAGACATGTTTTTCGGCTGAGGTAGCTGACAGGCTTTACAACCAGGTCCTTCTGTAGGTCGTAGAGCTTCTTGATGTAGCAGGATGAGACCTGTCCTTTCGGACCAATGTCGTGGGCCAGAAACTGCGAGCGCACGTTTTTTTAAAACGTGGCATTGATCAAAACTTAAAAAGAGGTGCCTGTCGCAGCCACAAGGATGTTCTATCCGGTACGTAAAAAGACCATCGCCCAAAATTGTCATGGCATTGGCGTTCACTCTGTGGTTATCACTCACTAAGCAAACATACCCTGAAACCACAGGCTTCTACTTTTTCAAGCACAAAAATCAACAACTTGTGAAGACGTGGGCCTGTTAACCCCTTGGTAAAATAGTAGGCCACTGGATTGCGATACGACGTCAAGAGGTCCTGTAATTAGGAAGCAGAGAAGAGAGTTTGCTAAGGTAAGGTCCCCACCATGTTGTTCCAAAGAGACATCTGCGTGTCCCACAAAGCAGTCCTGCTGTTTGTTGCACTGCAGCTTTCCCTGATCTTCATCTCGTCGATTATGAGTGAACACACCCTTGACTGTTGTACAGTCAAGCTTTCGGCTTCTACTCTAAGGCGAGCTTCAGTGAGTTTGCTGAAGCTTGTTTCTTCATTGGTGGTTCCCAATCAAAGTCTTTCTGCAAGGAAGATTCAAAAGCATTTGACCGCGGATGTGTTTCGTACGCCCTTGTCGAAAAATGCCTTAAAACTACACAACGTCGGGTTGTCTCCTCAGACCAGCTAGCTCGTCCTCTTCTTCTTGAAGTCCTCAATCTGATCAACCAAGAATAAAGCTGCGGGTTCTTTTTCTTTCGCCCTTTCTTAGATGTAAGAAACATCCGCAACCAGGGCATCCTCGTGCAGCTTTTTCAATTCCATTTTGTACTTGTCGACGGTCTGTTGCAGTCGAAGCAGCTGGCTCCTCAACTCCTTTTCTTTTCTTCTCCACTTCGCTTTCTCAGCGACAAGCGCACTTGAAGTTGACCTGCTGTCTACCTGGACGCCTTGATCACGCAAGTTGGCCTCCGACAATGTGTCCATCACGCAAAAATCCGACATATCCTCCACTGCTGAAGCAACGTTGCCGCTCGCGGAGTCACTGCGCACCATTGTAGCACTCACTCGTTTGTTGATGCTTGCTGTATTTCGCGCCGGAGTTGATTTCGGCTGGAGATGGGGCGGGTATTCTTGAAAAACTGACGGCACAGCCCCTTTAGTTAGGCGTCGCTGCTTGCCTTCGATGAAGTCCTCTTCTTTGAAGTGGCGACTGCATACTTTGGTGTAGCATGAGGTGGTGTTCGGCGACAACTTGTCTCGTCGTATTGCGGCAAGCCAGCGCGCTCGAGCGTCTGCGTCAGCGGGTAGTTCATGAAAGGGAAGCGCTGTCGGTTTCTTTTTCTCGTCCGATTTGCACAGCGGAACACAGCAGTAGGCCATCGTAAAGCATTCTACGCACGTACTTGCCGAAAACTGTCCCACAAAACGAAGTTGCGCACCACTGAACGGGCTGCACGCAACACCCGGACGGAATGGCAGCAGCGGTACCCTGTTTACCCAGCGCCCTTAGCGGCAGCGGAGAAAAGTGGCGTTCGACGGCCCCCCGATGGTGGTGTGCCCGGCACAGATTTTTATACAGGAGGCACTGGCTGAGGCAGATTTCTGGTTTGGTGCACACTTCGTAAATCTCCCCAGCTCAGTATCGTGCTATTTCCAGAATTGGCCCACAGTAGCCAGTGCGCAATCCTGCAGCTACTGTGACAATAAAGAAACTCAAACGCAGACACAGTGTTACATAATTATTGATTCAGTTGTAGCACAAGATGATGATGCATGCCCTTGGACTTACTGGAGAAAAATGATGAAAATGCAAACTGTTACAGCTGTACGAGGTGCACAAGCTGTCAGCCTAAACTACTGCAATAGATGTACAACTTGGTGGCTCCATCCTCAGCAAAATTACTCAGTAGAACAACAAGCACTGGCAATATGCCCTCATAGCTACAAATGTAGACCATCATATACAACTTCACATTAAGTTCCGCAGTTCCGACGATGGCCACTTCCCAAGTGACCGCCGATAATTCGGCAGGCAAGGGAAATCTAGGAGGCTGTGCTAGTGGCTAGAATAGGAATCTATTCTAGCCACTGTAGATGTGCTTAGGTTGGACGCTATGAGTGTCCCTTCAATGACCGATAGTGATCTGTGTGCCAATAAAGTTCAAGAACTCTTTGTTTCGGTCTAGCGCTTTTTACTACGGAGTAACTTTGGTTTTAATGCTCTTTATTTTTGCCTTTTTTTTTACTTCCCGCTAACAGCCCTTGTTTCCACCGCAGACATGTTTATGTTTCTAATCTGTATGCTGCTTTATACATGGCCTTTCGAGATGGCAAGAGCGCGCCGCCACGCGTTTGCGATCTCAAAGGCTATGCTTCATATGAGCTAGTACCGAAACATATTTCGGGCACGCTTGGGACGCGTCGAACTTGACCAGCGCAACAGTTCTCGATAGTTTTTCTGGCTACGTGTTGGAGACCCCGTTATGCTGGCATAGTGCTGCTGGCCACAACGTAAGCTAGGCAATAGGAAATGTATAAAAATATTTTGTCTAAATAATCAGACGTCCCCCTCAGCCGGACCAACGTGACAGCATATTTAATGCTGTAAATTCTGGCCGCTGCTTTTATAAGCCAGCGAAATTCCGAAATGCAATGACATTTTTATCTTACAAATCGGAGGTAGCAGACTTTGGTTTCGTTTTCATGTGCTGATGCTGAGCACGCATGAGTCGAGGGTAGCTGTTCTCTGGTCCAATCATGTCCAATATCTGTCGTTTTGTGGTGTGTGCAGTGGAACCGCGGCAGTGGGAATCGCCCTTGCGTTTTACAACGTAAAATTAGTGACATCATCATCATCTTAATTTTAGTAGACGTAATCAGGCAACGAGAGCGCTCGTTCTGGCACGACGTCAGCGTTCAGAACATTCCTTTCGAGCACGGGCACGCGTCTCCCATCGTCCGCTGCCCCCCAAGTTAACGCGCGGAAGGACCGATTTTCTCCTGCGTTTGCCACCTTAACGGTTTGTTCTGAAACTGTTGCTTCGTCGGATTTTCGTGGCGTGTCGCAATATACTGTCGGTTTTATGTCTAAAATGTGCATAACTTCTCAAGCATTACCGTTAGTAATGTTGCGCGGCCAATTGATAACTTCAGGGTTAGAGGTGTAGTTGGAAAGTTCTCTCAAGTGCTTGCCATTTGTGCGTTAATTTCAGGTTCTCCTGCTTGGCTAAAGGGTGGGATTGGGCTAGTTGGTATTCCATTATGAAGCGCTGGTCCGCGCCTCTTGTGCTGGTTGTCTAAAATTTTTTGCGCTGAGCAGTTCCTGCTTGGGGCCTGAGAGCTGCAGCGGCTAAGTAGTGTTTTAGAAGAGGCTTGTTCGATACGAGATGGGTAATGGGTCTCGCCAGTTTGTTCTTTGTTTTGGGTTTCCAGCGGCGCACCTCGAAAGGTGCTCGGCTAAAAGTCTCAAATAAGAAAAAGGGGCATGCTTCTAACAGTAATTGCTGTTGCCAAGTGCGTTTGCTGGTGAGAATCCGACACGCTGTTGTTGATGTTGCGTTTGCGCGCACTTAGTACGTTCGTGACGCACTTAGTACGTTCGTGAGTTAGGTGTGGTTACTTCTGCCCTCAAATTGACGCTCTTTTTTTTTTTTTTTTTGGCAGCTTGATACGTCGACCATTGAGAAATGGGGGACTCCATGGAGGAGGTGAAGACGATACTCCGCTCAATCCTTACGAGCGAGAAGGCGGGCATACAACTGCGTTACCTGGACAGTAAGCACACGCATGTTTTTGTTTAGAAGTTCGGCGTTAACGCTCATTGACTTGAACTTGACTTGAAACCGGTTTCAATGCAGCGCGTTTGAAACGCGCCTGGGCGTTTGTGTTGCCTTGGCACCGCCTAAAGACAGCGCGTTCGAAACTCGTTTGTGCTGCGTTGAGGTCGGTGTCAAGTCAAGCAGCGTTTCTGAATACGGGGTGTAAGAACGCGCCCGCGGCGTGGCAGTTTTAAAGTGGACCGAGCTTATCGCGCGAAGGTGGCATCCGTTCCACAGTTGTAATTAAAAATGATATATGGTCCAGTTGGTGGGCGTTCATTATTTCTAAACGCGCGAACGAATAAAGAACGCGAGGAAAGCGTTTGTGCTGCGTTCATCAGTCTGTGCTTTCGCGAAACAATTTAAATCTTTGTACGGGCCGTGCTTGAAGCCTGCTTTGCGATTTGAAAAAAAAAAAAATGTATTTTTTGCAGGTTTCAAGGAAAGTGGTTTTGTGCCTTGTTGTGAATAGGTTATCAGCGAACAGTTCGAATACTGCACTAACGATGTTAACCGTACTGAGAGACCTGCTTGCCGTTAGTGTCTTGGCGGAGTGGCAAGTGCAGGTGGAAATGTATTCAATATGCACATTCAGCGGTACTTTATTTCACACTGCTATGGCCTGGAACCCACTAATACTGTGGCGTGCACTTTGTATTCAAGTGTATTATTTTAGTTTGGCTCATGAGAGCTAGGTGCAGAAAAAACATGGTCGTGATGATCATTGTATGTGTTACAACATAAGTTCGTACGGACTGTGCCTATCTAATCATTGAGCGGTTGTGTAGCATACTATGCAATGGTTGGTGAAATGATATTTGTTAACTTAAAGGTAAGAATGAGTGGCCTGAATGATGAGGCTCTAAAGTTTCTGCTGAATTTAAATGCTATTTGGCTGTACGACGGTGTGTAAGGCATTGTAACGTTTGGCGGTGCCCATTGGAGCATGAAATGTTTGATTCAAGACTTTGGCTGGATTATTGCAACTTGGTAGGGGTGAAGAATGCTAAAATGGGTTTTTTATGCTCTTTGAGAATAGAGTATTTGCAGGAGTGTTTCTGATACGCAGCTACAATTAGAACTGTGCACAAGGCTGAATTTTTAGAGCCTGAGCTGGGTCTCTGCCCGCTGCCTGCGTTGAAGGCCTGTCCGAGCTTGATGCTAAGCCAGGTGGGCTGGTAGCCTGGCTGGCCCGGTTTGATGGCCACGGCATGGCATTACGAAGGTTTGCTGTGGAGGGATGTTTTGCTATAATGTGGCATTTTATTCAACATATCAAAGTGAAAACATAAGCAAATGGCGCATGACAGTCATTATGTGCTACAATTGCAAGTTGTGTGTGAATAAGCTGTCCAGCGACTTGAGCTTCTGTGGAAGGCAGTGTTCTTATGTCACATATATCCCACCTAACTGAAGGTCCATTCGCTGCTCGCATTGGTAACCAGAATTGCCAAAACATTTTTCGGAAGCGTAGCAAGCTTGAAGTATTTATACCATTTGTCCATCCAGAAGTCTAGTACCTCAAATGTGGAAAAGGGGATTATTCTGTGTATAGCTCATCTTATGTAACTTCGCCCTCTTCCCTTACACATAAAGTGGATAACTGAGAAAGGGGGCGACAGTTAGTAGCGGAAAAGGCACTTCGTAGTGGGAGACTGTTCTCGCGCAACATCTACTGAACTTTTGCATCTGGCACAACCCGCTCGAACCCAGCTCTCGGGCTGGGCAAGGGTGTTACCTGAAGCGTATGCACACTTCTAGCTATGACCATCTACCTTGTGTGCTTTCTCTGCGTTATCACCGTGGTACTGTGAAGCCTACTCGCGGGCTCCATGTGTTGACGAGCAGCGCGGCTGAACAATGATTTTCTCCTGTATTTATCTGCGTTATGAATGAAAAAAGCCATTGCTCGCGCGTTAGGGCCGTTGTGGCAGCATGCTCTGTAGGAGTAGGCTACGAGCAGCTGGTCAGATTTGCGGCAGTTGTTGACTTGCAAAAGCCAATGCATCGAAAGTCATTCACAGCCATCAGCCGGAAAGTTCGTGATGCGGCAATGGATGACGTCTGCACCAATCTCGGGAAGCCGAAGGAACTTAAAGGGGACGACATTGCCATTATGTACAACAGTATTTGGCACAAACGTACCCGCAAAATGGCATCGGCACTGTTGTGTTCCTCGACACTGGATTAATTTAAATTTCGCTGTCCTGTCGATCTTCTTCCTAGCTTGTAATCAGCACAAGGCTCTGCTAGATGGAGCGGAAGAAGTTTGGCAGGCATGTCATGGCCCTGTCTGTGAGCGAAATGTCTGTGAGGAGTCGGCTCGAAAAAGCCGAGAAGGACGAACTCACTGGTGCTGGCGAAGTTTAGTGACAGTAGCCACTACAAGAAGGGTTATTCTTTTTGGTGTGCAAAATTCATTGCATTTAATGATATCTTTCATAAATAAACACTCAATTTTAAAATTTAAAACATGTTTTTCACAAAATACAAATTTTGCAATTTTTTTCAATGTTCCCCAACTTTTTTGGGTACTTCTTGTGCTCAGATTCACATGAAATTTTGCCCAAACTTTTTCCCAATGTATGACAAATACAATTATCTAGTTTAATTTTCAATGTTGTTATAATATATAAAATTGTATGTAAACCTTTACTAGGGTAGGTGAAATATGGACTTTTTTATGTCTATTATTTTCTACGCCTATTATATATTTTGTATGTGCTTCCTAATTAGTTATTTGCATTCCACACTGAAACATTACGAACTGTGAATGGTAAAAAAATACGGAAGTAATGATGAAAAGAGGGGGGGGGGGGCAAAGGGGTTAAGGTTTTCATTTTGTCATGTCGCAGAGCTAAAAGGTATGCAACCTATTATATATTTGAAATCAGCATACTAAGTTCCATAAAGAGCTCATTTTATTGCTCTGGAGTGCATGTTATAAAAAAAAGTGTCTTCGAGTAGCATCTCTCCTTAAAATGCAATTAACTTGAATAGCAAGCTAGATAAAAAATCTCTGCAAGGAGAATGCTGTTCTATTAAAATTTTGTTTTGTTTTGTTTATTGATGCAGTTAAGTTCCTGCATGGTGGGCCCATACCCATAGCCCATACTGCTAATCTTTCAAAAAGGATATTGTTAAAAGGGTTCCACAAATAAATTGTAGAGATGTGGTGGTGCGTGCATTCTTTTCTGCTTAAATTTCAGGAACAGTTAGAATCAAAAGCGAGTATCTGGAACTTTCCTGTTGTTTTCTTCAGTCTTATACTGGTAGCTGCTTGGACCATTTTTGCAATGACCACATGGGCCATGTAGGTTCCGGAACAAAGAAATAAAAGAACCCGCAGTGTTTCTTATGGAGCTACCTCAGATGACTCGAAATGCAAAAGCCTTCAGGTGTGGGTATCACCTTTAGAACTTTTTAGTAAAGCAGGTGCAGAGAAAATGAAGTGAACATGTGGATCACACGCCTCGTGGATCAAGGCGAGCAGGTGGTCATACGAGTCAATAAAACACCCCGAATTTTTGCTCAAGTTCACATTTGCATGGCATATAAGGCTTTTGCTTTAATAATCAAAAGAAAGATACTGCATATCAACCCTCGCGGTACCTTGAAGGGGCCCTGCAACACTTTTCTAAGTAGCCATAGAACGGCTTCACTTAAAGGAGCTTAGTGCCTCGTAAATAAACGGGCACGAAAATTTACAGAATCCGTGAAATACAAGTGGAGATTTGTCGCATGCTGTAATGGCATGTCACGTGCGATTCGTGACCTGGACCACTTTTTTTTTTTTTTTCTGAACACTGGTTTTTCAGTGGTATCGCAACGTGTATGGGCGCATGGAGATCTCTTGTGGCAGGCTGCGGAAACTACGGAGCTTGCCATACTTCAATTGGCCAATGGCATGGAACTTGAGGATATAATGCAGTGTTTTTGAGTATATAGCATCATTTGTCGAGAGGAAAGGAAGGGAATTCCAGACTGCATGTTGTCGCGAGCCTCGACTGTCAATCAGAAGCGCTTTCTCATCACGCTGAAAAAGTTTTGCAGGGCCCCGTGAAGTAGTTTATTCTAGTTGTGCAGGCACAGGTCATTACGACATTGATGCTGATTGCACTCACTTGATTGTCTCCTCATGTGCTACATTTTATGTGGCTAGATGTTAGTCCAGCAGACATTCATAAAAGTGACCTTGCTCCTACGTGATCGCCTTTTTCATCGTGATGATGCATACACCTTATAGGAAACAATATCAAAGCTATTTTATATTATTACTTCTTATCTTCATATTTATTTAGAATGTTCAGAGACTTTTGAACATCTTTTTTTAGAGCTCTGTGGTCAAACTTGGGAGGGGAAAAAAAAAATTGGGAAACCAGCCAGTCACAATGTAACTAAATTCAGCAACTTCAACTGTACAAAACTTGTAAACTGTTTAGCTATTGAAAGGATAGCAGGGTGCCATGCTAAAATTACTTGTCATACAATCTACTGCATTCAGCAGCCTGCTTGTGTAGTGTTGCCATCACCGTATCTGTTCTGTTCTGCAGCGTAGTAACACATTTTCCCTGGCAAGTTAGCAGTAGAATGAGGGTGACAAATAAGCACCAGTCCTTTGTACTTGTCTCATAATTAAAAGTGTGGTGTACATATACCTAATATTTGCCTGTTTTGGAATTCCTGGACATGTCATAGGAAGCTTGGCACAAAGCAGTGTGATTAGTTAGATATCCTGCCAGCCTTATAGCGCAGCAGAATGACTTAATGGATGTGGGCTTGGCGGAACCAGTCAGGGCATTTTTTTTCCCTTTCCTAGTTTGACGTTTTGCTGTGTGGCCATAGCTGCGAATCCTAACGTAGCATTTCACTGCTTCTTTACAGACGAATACAGGACCCTCACAGGAATGCGGATTCCTTATAGGCAGCTGGGGTTTAACACCCTGGAAGAATATCTTTATAGCATTCCTGATGTGGTTCGGTTAAGCAGGTAAGTGCTCTCTGCGTGACTTATGTTTTAGGCAATGCTGCAGAGTTCTGTAGTTTTTCATTAAGAATATGGCACTGTGGCTTCTTGCATTGTCAATATTGGGAAAAATAGTGGTGCTGCTAAGTACATACGGTATGCTGACATGTTTTAATGACACTTTTATTACTAGTAGTCATGTAATGATATATTGATTGATATGATGATAGCGAACGCAGCCCTTTGTTTGCACATGTAATCTCTTCAATGGGCAAAGTGCCTGAGTGGTTCAAGCTGTTTCCACATTGCACTTGTTGCTTGAGATCGTCCAGTCATCATAGGGGCTGTTTGGTGCAGTTAAACACGTTTGTAAGAGACAATTATCTATAAGAGAGACAGCAGTGTGTTGATGTGTACTTGCATTGAAATAGGCAGCGGTGCAACAGCTGTGCCAATTGTGCCGATTTGATACGTTTCTTCATTGTTGTGCCGAGCTGTGCCAAAACCATGAAATTTCCTGAAATTGCATCACGTTGCACCAAAATGCCCGACCAGCCTCAAAATTATCTCAGGTGCGCTAATTTCAGCGAGAAATGGTGGCCCATTGGCCACCTGCACTTTGCTTTATCAATCAAATCAAGCGCAAACCCTAGCTCTAAACCACGGTGTAAGTTATGCACTCATTAGGTGAGGACACGATAAGATGAAGTAACAACGCTGCGCGTCCATCGGTTCGCTGACTGCTAGTGGATACCTATCGGTAGGACGAAGGAACTTCAAGCAAAAAAAAGTGTTGCCATAGTCACCAGCACTTTGCGCGAACTATGAATTTCCTAGTCGGCAAATGCGGTTATGGTATGTTAGGAGCGTATGGTGCGTCTTCCATGTGCCAACAAGGTCAATGTGCTGAAAACACCGTTGTTGCTATCCAACACGTTTTTCTGGCTTGAAGTTGCGTCGTCCCAGTGATAAATGTTCGGCGCTGTTGTCGGGCCAACAGGCATGCACTGTTGTTACTTTATCTGTATATAGTTCAACGTGCCTTGCAAGCCAGTTGAGAAGTTGTGCCCTAAACTTAACCCTACCGTGAAAGAGTGGGCGCATGGTTGGAGGGGTGTGTAGCGGTTAGAAAATTGCTTGGCCTTGTTCAAACCTGTGATGAATGCTGCTTAAGCAACCTTTGTTGCTGTAAACAGTGTCCCGCGGAAAAGTGTATTACGATTTGGAAGGGGCTGTTGGTGTTAGGCACGGGATGAAACACATTTTGTTTAATTTCACTGTAGACAACTTACAAGGTAACCGCTTATAGTGCACGACCGGTTATAATGTGGTCAATATCAACTCCTGGTTTACCTTCTCATGAATCCTCATGTATAGGCATACCTCTTATTCTGTAGTCCTGCAAGATGAAAAACCGGCTGCAAGATGAAAAACCGGCTAAAATGCGATTACTGGAAAATCTCTAGGGCAATCGCGGTAGCGAGTGCGCGTCTGAAAAGAGGCGCGCTAAGTGCGCAGCTGGGCAGTGAGCGACGAGGCCGTTATAGAGGAGGAAAGAACGTGGGGGGGGGAACAAATGGTGGGTGAAGGGGGAAAAAGAAAAGAAAAAAATAACGTTGGACACTGTACACCTTTGCCGAGTAAGGGCCGAGGGCAGTTGCCCAGGAAGCCTTTGCACCAGCGCTAATGTGGATATAATGTACTATTCTCACTAGTGTGGCTCTGGCCGCTTGCTTCCGGTTGCATACGGCCAAACATGACACGTGTGATTCCTTCCTAATAAACTGTTTCAGATTTTCTTTCGGGAAAAGCATTGTTGTTATCGAGCTTGCTACAGGTATCGGGTTAGCTACCTGATCCGCAAATTTGAAAATTTATGGCTTTATCACGCAAGCTTTCGCTTTTGCAGCTAGTGCGCGGTCTTGCATTAGCTTTGCAGGTTTTTGTCGATCACCTAGCCGCGAAAGCAAGCTTCGTCTTGATCTTCACGTCTTGGTCAAACTTCCTGCGACAGCATACCAAACAGCAGGCTAGGCCTAATCAGCGTTACTTGCATTTCGGGTTGCGGTCGTGTGCAATTGAGGTTGTGGTTTGGAACGGATTCAATGAAACTCATTGTGATGGCTGTACTTAAAGGGAAGAGTAATTTCGTTAACCTCTTCGCTACCGGCGTCCTCGTTTGTGGACGTTTACATGAAAGCGATGGTGGCACGTGTAGCACTCGGATGGTGGCTCGTGATTTGATTGCGATGCCTTGAAATCAGGTGCACACCCATGAAATCGAACGATTGGGATATTTCAGTGCGTGAAATTTCACACGTGATTCGACATACTAGTTTCTGTGTAATGTGCATAATCAAGGTGGTCTGAGAAATCATCAGCAAATTTTTGCGATGTTGCTTTATATTGTTAGACCCTCTTTACCTCGCACCCTTTCGCGTTAATTTCATTTGCAACGCAGTTCTTTGGTAGTTCACTTTTTTTTAACATTTGGAAATTTGAATGTTTGTAAGCACCACGTATCACATGCTTCGATTTTTGGACACGCGAGGCTTCATGCACAAAGTTGCGGCCCTTGAAAAAGGTTGCTTCGGTTATAGTGTGGTACCGCTTACAGTGCGAACATTCGCGACTCCCGTAACTTGCGTTATATGAGGTCTATACTGTACTCATGCGTGTATGCGCCTCATAAATGTGGTGAGTAAAAGCACAATAGCTGACAACCAAAAATAGTTGCTGGAAATCATTTGGAGCAGCGAATGACACTTCTGCTGCAATGTGTCTTTCTTTTTTTCGCCACCCCTTCTTGTGGTGCTGCCAAGCTTTCCTGTTTGGCAGTGCCACATTTGAATCCGCAGAGTCTGTAAAAAAATTTGACAGGCGCGGAATATGCTAATGTGGACTTCAGTGTTTGCTTAGTGGGCTAATTAAGAATAGTACTTTTATATAAATAGCAGTGCTTATGTTCACTCTGCATGATTTAGGTGGGTTGGATATTTTGTACACATATTTTTTTTTACTAAGTGGAAGCATTTTTTTTTACACTGCTCCAAATTTGGTCTTTCATGATAAAAAATGATTTTTCCCAGTAACCTGCCCCAAATTCGGATTTTAGTGTTCCAAAAGTAACATTTTGCTGCTCCAAAATCTGCTACAGATTCTATTTTGGCAGTTACACACCAGAATAGCGGTTAATTGGGAAATGAGAACAAGGTACCTCTGCTTGTCGTAGACATCTTATGTAAGGGATAAAAACTGTCTATAATGAGTCTTTTGTAAAGGGGTTCAACTTTTGTTCTCTTGACTTGTTATGGCTATAACGTTTCTGATTATGTAGCAAAAGTACATTAGAAGCTTTCTAATTCAAATTCCTTCTGGTTGCTGGCAGAATTCTAAGGAAATGAAATTTATACTAGCAGAAGTAGCGAAATAAAGGCTGCATATGATGGAATGGTAGCGCCTGTGGAACCATCATCTTTTACTTAAGAAATCAGTGATACTATATATTGTCATTTCTCAAAAGGTGATCGTGATTACTGCTTCAGCTGTTTGGTTGGTAATGCTACTGCTGAGTATATTACTGTGATGCATGCAACTCGAAAGCGCATGTGGCATCCAACGAGCTCAGCTCTACATATCGAGGGAAATAAAAGACTTGGCGAAATAGCGATATGGTAGTGAGAATTGTCATTTTTATTTTTATCCTATCTTGTCTATTCGATGCAAGGCAGCTGCGCCAGTCATTTACAAAGTGCCCGTGTGCTAGCATCGAAGTGTCGATCGCCAGAGAAAAACTAAACTTCGGAACATCTCGAACACCGCGATTTTATAATTACTGGCCGTTTAGTGTCTGTTTTTAAGCATTGGGTTAGCTTGTGTGTTTACGCATTTGTGCCTGGGAGTCTAGACCGAACGTCATTGCCTTTGCTAAGGCAATCTGTGTCAAGGCCAGCGAGCGAGCCCGGCGGTGCCGGTGTGTCTTAGCAATGCACGGCGAGCTCCCTCTACCCACGGGCCCTATAGCATCCCGATGATGCAAGCGGCGCTATCCAGTCTGGCGAGTCTTCGCAATGCGTGGCAACATCTCTCTTTTCATGGGTGCAACCCAACGGCGGTTTCGGACTGGAGGAATCTGACATCACGGTCAGCGACGTTGGTGATGTAAGGAATCACCCGGGGCCTATAAAAACAGCCAAGGGGCGCGGCGCCAGCAGCCAATGTATGCCTCACAGGGAAGACATCTCGGCTCTTCGAGTCCCTAAGCTGTCGGCCCCAGTGCCGAATATGTAATGCCTCTATTTCTATGCTGTACACAAACATTGCTTCAACTCACCGTCGTCTTGTCCACCCATCAGCTCTGGGCAGAAGCAGCCGCGAGCTGAGAACCACGCTACCGAACAACCTTGGCGGCCCGTGACTTAGGTGCACTGCGCAATAGTGTCAGCGGTGGTGCCAGTCGTGACAGCATGTAACTAGTCATCTGTACATGAGCACTTGCTCTATGACGTGAATGGTGATGCAGGTTGTGATAGAGCATATAGTCTTCTACGGTGGTGAGATTGCGATGTACAGTGGTACTCAGACTAGGAGTTTGTAACAAGCGGAATTCACGAACCATATTTAAGTGTGATTTGATGTGGTCATGTTGCGGCAGCATGTTTCGAGTGTTTGCAAAGGACTACCACAATGTCATTTTGGTGCTGGCTTATAGCCAATCACAAACCTACCTTAGCAAGTTTCGGAGTTATCACTGCCCATCTTATGACACTTGCTCGACCTCTTCAGGTGAGAAGTGCTAGTGATTTGTTGAATGTAAGGAATAAACTCTTAAATGTACAGTACAGTCCACTGTTAGGGGAAACACGCAAACGCGTCGCCGGTGGCCCGCGTGGTGCGAACTCGTGGCGAGATTTGTAAATGTCGCGCATGCGCATAAAAGCGCAAAGGCGGCGCTTGTCCGGTTTTGTCTGCTACTCTGTCTCGGCGCTTGCCGAGCGCTTTCGTTTTTCTGCGGCGCGATTCATGCTGCTGCCATTCTGCCAGTGCCCTGTCTGGCTACTAGCAGGTACAAAAAAGGTGTAGCTTGTTTGTTGCTGTGGTTTTTGACCCCTTCTGATACGATGCGTTTGGCACCCACAGTGGTCAATTTTGATCAAAGGCGATAAAAAAATGAAAAACCATGCGTTTAAATTATAAGCACGTTATTCAATGCTTAATAATAATAAATAAAGGTGTTTCACATGGCAGAACAGCAATATGATTATGAAAGAAGACGCAGTTGAAGGCTCTAGAAATTTAAACCAGCTGGGGTTTCTTAACGCGCACCTGAATAAAAGGACATGCGCCTCGAGCATTCCTTCCTCCATCGATAATTCGGTTGCCGGGATTTGATCCAGTGACCTACAGGTCGACACTTGAGCACGATGACCCTTACACTACCGTGGCGAGTTAAGTAAACACTTGCGGATGAAATGTGTTAGAAAACTTTCGATATTCCGGCAAATATTAGTTTCTACGTTCTAAATTGTGTGAGTTCACTGAAGCAACATGCATGTCTATGCAAAGTACTATGCTTCACCAACATGTGCCTGCATGAAAAATGTCGCACGTGGAACTATACACTAGAGTAAACGTGGAAGAGAAAATTTATTTGTTATATTTTCGTGACAAAAGATCAACCGAGTTAGATAGACGGTATCTCAGCATTAGAATAAGGAAAAACTTCGTTTAGTATCGGGTGATGCATTGCCACCTCCAACATAGAGTACGGCCTTTATCCTTGCAGGCAGAGACACTTGTATAGAGCTTCTGTGAAGGATGAATCACGCTTAAGCTGCTCCCATCCTTCGTTTACACTAGCGCAGAGGTGATCCTCCACAGATTTTGCGTGGAGACTTAGGCAGAAGAGATGATTTCATTCTGCCCCACACGTCATTTACGTTCATTTCGTTCATTTCGTCATTTACTTCATTTACGTTCAAGTTAGGGGACGGTGTTGTAGTAGGCGGTCTACCTTTTTTGCCGTGTGAACCTGCGAGCGGTCGTGCTAGAAAATGTAGCCATGCTGCGGTGTCGTGCGACTGGTGATGTGTGGCAGCTGCCGAGTGTGTCCAGAATATTCTTCTATTTTTCTGCTGTGAAGGCACCTTGTATGCGTACAAGTGGTCTAAGGACGTTTAAGCGGTCAGTTGTTGGCTACGCAGGCAACAATATACATGTTGCCTGCAAAATATATATGTTTCTGAGCAGTCACTCATGACCTTGGTCTTCAATGGGCATCCTTAATTATATTTTCAATCACTAAAGCCAGGATAATCCTGTTAACAGCCTTGAGTAACCTGTTCACTATGGCACCGGCGGCACGCTGATTGTATTCTTTAGTGTATAGCTCAACTATGTGGAGCCTTTCATCCACAGGTACCCTGGCCATACCACATCCAAGAGCTGGCACCACCGAAAATTTGTTCAGCGAAGAATAACGCCCCCAGCTGTGCAATTCTGTGAAAGTGAAAACGAAGCCCATCACTTGCGTAACCTAGTGTCGATAAAATGTCACTCGTAAGCATTGCGCAAGCACTTGAACCTGCCGCCTGCTTTTTATAACAGGCAAGAAACTTATTGCTTATTGCAACGAGCATAGCCAGCTTTTCCTTCCAACCATGAAACATAGCATGGTGTTAGCGCCCGCCGAGCGCTTGGGCGGGAAAGTAGCAGACGACACAGGGACATGAGCCGCCCTTGCAATTCAGTGCGCATGCTCCGCGTTTACAAATTTCACCAGCAGATAGCGCCCCGTGGATCGACGGCCGCACGCTCGCGTGTTCCCCCTAACAGTGGACCGTACTGTACGTGTCTCCCTGCATGTCGCAGTGGGCTACTGATGCTGATGCTATCATCCAACTCCAAAAATGCACGTGTGCAAGGCAGTCGTGGCATGCTTTGATCAGAAAGCATAGCCTTCGAAATTAGACTGACCTCTAGCTGAGGTGTCAATAAATGATGGACATTAGGGCATGATAATGATGGGAGGAGGTTCAAGTTTTGTCGGCTGTAGTGTTGCATGGAAAGAGATCACTAATCGGAAAGCCGACCGCGGTGAACCCGACCGGCACATTAATTATACATCACTTTATATTACACGAGGTTCCGTTGAGTTCGGCTTGACTGGGCCACAGATTCAAATTAACAAGCTTTTACAGCATGATGTGCACCTCTTACTATGCATGGAGAGGATTTTGCCTTGGAATGGTCGTAGTTAGGCTGATGGTGATGATGATGAAAGGTTCTCTGTGAGCTACATTTTAAATGATCTGTTGTCATTACAGGAATGCAGAAGGCAACTTGGTAGTGTCAGTCGTTGTCACTGAATCTACGGCGCATGTTGCGGAAATGGTCAGAGGTCAAAAGTCTGCCAAACCAAGGCCCATGGCTGTGAGTAACACTGCCTCTCGTTTCAATTTCATACTTAGGAAAAGCTATGGTTTTAGTAAAAACTAAAATGTTGTCGGAGATGTCTCCCTGAACTAGCGTAAAAGCCTTTAGAAATGTCAAGTAAGCCTGTTTTAGGGACTGTTATTAAGTGTTGCAGGAGGGATGAAGGTAACTAGTTGTTTTATGCAGAAACTTCTAAAGCAAGTGCAACTCTCAGGAGCAGTGTGCTAGAGGCTGGTCAATAGTTAACAGCATGGTTAAGATCTAATGGAGAACAAAATAATATTCTATTGATTTCACAATATGGTAAACATTTGTCTGCTGAGGGAAACCAAGGCATCCTCACTTGAAACTGTTGCTTGTGTTGTGCCTTGGATTTGGTGATAGAATAGCTGAAAGTGTGTTGATTCACTTTTTCTTGACATTTCTACATTTCCTTGTCTTTCAGAAAAAGTCTTATCGGCGGCCTCCAGGTTCTTACAACGCCGGGTACAGGCCCAATAGCCTGCTAACAAGACTTACTCAATCGCGACCACCGCCTGCATCGTCTGGAGGTAGGGCATTTTCACAAGCTCTTGCCTCTGTGTGAGATAATGTGTGCATGTGTGTATGTTCAGCCAGTGGTTGTCCAAGAATAAGCAGGGTTTCCTTCCAAAAGAACAAAAAAAGAAAAAGCTGCGTTACTAAGGTAATTTCTTTCAGGTGCTGCTTAGTTCTGTGTGTTACCAAGCATCGTGAAAGGGACACTGAAGAGAAGCACTATTTTTCGATTGGTGGTGTATTCGTTGTATACTCTACCAGTCACGTTTCAACACCTTTTTTTCCCAAGGAGGAAACAAGCACTGAGTGGCGTTACATACCGTGTTCTTTTGTCAAATTTTTTATTGCTGGTTCTCAGGAGTTTATAAGTAAAAATGTAAGAAAAAACCAACCTGCTGAATGAAGGATATTGGTTTTTTCATACAGTTCCCTAAAATTAACTAGAGGGGACTCTGGCACTGTGATCTTTGTGACGACGGGATTTATGGGTAGCACACGGATTTGTCTGGCTGTCATACTTGCAGGGCTTGAATCGCACTTGCGGCTTCGTTTATTGCTTTGTTTCTGTTTTGTTTTGAAGAAAAGAACAAACCCTTTCGAACTTGGTGACTCGATTTGAAATGGTAAGCCTAAAATAAAAGGCTAGGGTGGTGAAGTGTAAATGCTAAACATGTGCTAATTTTTTTGTGAAAAAGCTCCAAGCCATGCGAAGCTAACCAAAGCCAAAAGTATGAAAATTAGACGAATCAATCTACTACCCATTATTCCCATGCTCACTGAAGTGCCATGCATGGGAGATCCCATAGACACTAGTGCCAGAGTTCCCTCTAGTGTATTTATAGAAAACTTTATGGGTTTTTTTTGTAAACAAATATGGCCATGCAGTGTTGTGGAAAGCATGTGAGCGAGTGTGAATGAGTATTGGTAAGCTTATCAGAGTTCATTGAACGGGAGCAAGTGAATATAGCGGTGTGTTGTGAAGTATTATGCTGGCTGCATGCACTCCGATCTGGTGGAAGGGAGTTGAATTTAGTGTAAATGCTACCACCAGCAGAAAAACATGTCTGTTGGCAACCTGGCTGTTTTCAACGAGTCCGGCAATTAGAAACAGCACGTAAAAGAAGTGACCAATTTCCTAAAATACATTGCACACATGGTTCGTATTCTCTGCAACTGGTTATAGTATATAAAGAGCACTTCATGTCCTGTCCCACTGAACGTGTCCTAGTACATGTGTGTAAAGCATTCCTGGTGCTTTGCGATGACAGCTTTCATCTTTCGGGATGCATTCAATTTTGCGAAGCTTTGTCTCAAACTCCGAATGTATGAATTTATGCTATGCAGCTGACAGTGTTTCTTTCCTTGTGTGATGGCAGCATGCGTAATCGATGTCGAAATTGCAGTACTCTGAAGACATTAAGGAGCACTAAAGACAAGTAATAAGTCAATGTTGATTGCTAAATAGCGGTTCAGAAACTTCGTAGTGCTACTTTTGTGCCAAAGAGGTGCTTATCTTCAAATTAAGTTGTTTGGATGGTCCGCCTTGCATTCTCGCACTTCATATCACCCCCCCCCCCCCACCTGAAAGTGGTATGTCTTGCGTCACTGTTGTCGTTCACAATGCTGATTGGCTTTACTGCGCGGCGGCCACCGACACTTGTAGCGGCAGAACGAAAGCGGGAGCCACGGCAGCAATAACGGCCATTGAACAATTTTCTCCTTGCTTTGTTCAACTGATCCTCGCTAGGTGGCACTACTTATTCAGCCTAACGGCCCCAAAAGTGAACTTTTGAACCACTTGCGCCATTTCTCATAGTAATGCCAGGCTCTAGTTTTTTCTATAAATAAAACGGAAGCGAACAAGAAGCATTTTGTTATGCCTCTTGATGCATAGAACGTTTTTTCATAGCAGATTTGTCGTTTAACGCTCACACGGCATTGGGATCATTTCGCCAATGTCCCACTCGTGGCGCACGTCATGTGATACAACTACCTACCAGCCAACTCAACTCCCTTGAATTGTCTGGGGGACTCCTGAATTTTTACTTAATTTCCAGAGTGTACGAATGCTATCTTGAATCTCTCGAAAAGTGACCGCCACAGCAGAGGCATTTTTTTTATCTCGCATACATCAGCCTTTCTTGCTGCGACAGTTGTGGCACTGTGGAAAAGCACTTGACACTACAGTTCTGTAGTTCATTTTAATGATACCGCAGAGTACCGCTAAGTATTCGCCTCGAGATCAAGCAGAGTCGCTGCCTGGAGGCCACCGACTGAAGCATGCCTAATGTGGATTGCTCCCTGTGTTGTCTGCTAGCCATATAAGGCTAGCATATTTGCGTATGTCAAGCTCATCCTCACAGGGCGGTTTGTCTCGCTGTGCTGTAGAAAACGATCTGTAGAAACATTTGGCCTTCCTTGGCTGAATGTGCAATGCAATAAGACCAGTTCGCGCACATGCCTGGAGTGCTGTGTATCGTTATCGTAACCACTGTTCGCCAGGAGCCCCGCCGCAGTGGTCTAGTGGCTAAGGTACTCGGCTGTTGACCCGCAGGTCGCGGGTTCGATTCCCGGCTGCGGCGGCTGCATTTCCGATGGAGGCGGAAATATTGTAGGCCCGTGTACTCAGATTTGAGTGCATGTTAAAGAACCCCAGGTGGTCAAAATTTCCGGAGCCCTCCACTACGGCGTCTCTCATAATCATATGGTGGTTTTGGGATACTAAACCCCACAAACCAATCAATCAAATCTGTTCGCCAGGATCATTTTGGCGCAGGTGCCGCTTCACACCTTAATTAAGCACACCTTAAGCACATTAAGCACCTAAAGTGCCCTTAATGTCAGATGAGGAGCATTAGATATCGTGTGAATGCAGTGATCTAGTGACTCGTTTATAAACGAAATTTTCCTTGTTGTTAGACAGTCTAACTGCAGCGTTATTGCTTATCGGTTATGCAATGGGCATTGATTGGGCTCGAGGTATCTCTTAATTGTACGATCCTGGTCTTACTACAGAAAAATATTTCTGTCAAGTAAATTCTGACACTTCTGTACTTAAATTGTCCCTTAAATATAACAGAAAATGGAATGACGTGGAGGTGATTAGTTTATACAGACAGACCCATGTGATTAGACTTCGGCTTGCTTTACGGACTCCAGATGACCAAAATTAATGTAGACGGCGTGTCGTATAATTTCATGCAAAGTTACATCTTTTTTTTAATTACCTGCGCGCTTTTGCGGCATTGTTATAGGCTAAGTAAAAGAGCGGACATTCTTCGCTTGAAAATAATAACTGAACCTTTGTTGCATCTGCAATGCAGGTAATCAATCGAAAAAAGCGGTGTGCTGAACTAGTGCCTTTTTATACTGTTACTAGAGAAAGAACAATCGTGCTAAAGCACTGTTGGCAACATAGCTTTCTTGAATGAATATATCCTCTGTCCTACATTCATTTCATGGAGAATTGAATAAAGAAAATGCAAATGCGTATTCGCAGTTATTTTAGCCATAGCCCAAGAATATGGGATATTTTTTTGTGGTGTCCAAGACCTGCATGCATGGAGCAATGAAGGAATTCAGTCGTACTACAACGGTACATAGTAGACACACAAGCTCCACCCTTAGAAATAAAAATACAAGAAACATGACGTACTATAGGAAAACGCCGACAGCCACCAAGTGTCAACAATCCTTCTTAATGGTTTTAATGGCCGATCGTGTTTCTCCCGCTAGTAATAGTTAATGATCTGCGAGCTTTGTGCATCCATTCCACAATGGACAGCATATATGTTATGAGTAGGCTGCAGTAAACCCTATTTTATTTCCCGAAAATCTGCTCGAATCTCTTACAAGAAAAAGTGGCACTGCGTACATTTCTGTGTGTGCCGCCGGCTGCCTATTCACATTACCGCGGCGACAGTGCTGCCACCCATAGGTCGATCTTGGGGTGAATATTCTAGGCACTATAGCACCATGCATCTGGGTGAAGGCCGAGAAGCGCTTGCCACCGTACCAAAAAAAAGTTAGGAAAAAGGTACAACTTTTGTGTCTGTCTGTTTGTCCGTCTTGACCCGCACAATTTGTATGCTTTACGCTGGGCCTACGTCGCCTGTTGCGTTGTTAGGGGATGAGGGAGAGTTGGGTTTACGTGTTTGCCCGAGTTCAGTTGGAAAAAGCGAACTGGTACTTATTCTGTAATCACGTGCACCTGCAATGTAAGCGTTTCGCACAGTAGCAAGGCCAACATAAAGGTGCACATCGCTTCACAGACGTATCGAAACTACGTTTGTGTCGCGGAAGGGCAGGACAAGATCAAAAGCTTTTTTCCAAAATAGGTGCGAAGAAAGTTCGTGCATGCAGAATGCCTATTCATGGGGCTTCTTGTGGAACAGAACTTGCCGCTAAGCGTTATGGATCATGCAGCATCGTTGCTTTGTGAAATGTTCCCAAAGGGCGTGAATGCGAAGCAGTGGGGATGAGAGTCGTACGAAAACAAACTGCCATCGTCGAGGAAATGCCTACAGATGCCGAAAATACTATGGTGGAAGCTTTAAAATGCCGTGCTTTCGCAGTCGCAGTAGATGGAAGCAATGACAGCGTGTTGTAAATGTCTGTCTCCGTAATTTTGTATTTGTAAGTGTGTGCATGCAGTTTTTGATAAACTGATCACAATCTGCACTATTTACATTCCTCCTAGCTATCAGCTGCAAAAACGTGATTTACACTCCTTAATTGATCAACTTCCGGAACCTTATGTTCTCCTTGGAGACTTTAATGCGCATAGCAGGCTATGGGGTGACTCTCGGTATGACGCGCGAGGTCGACTGATCGAACAGTTTCTTCTCTCGTCGAGCGCGTGTCTCCTAAATCGAAAAGAACCAACCTATTATAATCTCGCCGATAACACCTATTCCTCCATAGACCTAAGCATAGTATCTCCATCTCTTGTGTCTCTACTCCAGTGGAAAGTCGTCAGTAATCTGTACGGAAGTGACCACTTCCCCGTAGTTTT